CATTTCATCACAGATATTACATTGACAAGTATAGCTCTTGTATTTGTTTATAACCAGTTTAAATAAATATGACTTTATCACCAGCACTATTATTGCTTACAATTGCTTAATGACTATAACTGTGTAATCTAGTGATAAAAATTTCTGGCTAGAACCAAAACCAAATTTCAAGAAACACCTGGCCAAAAACCAAAACCGGAAATCATTTATTTATGCTTTTGAATAAACATACTAAACAGAAAAACTACAAGGTAATAAAGGAAAAAACACTTTTATTATTTTATTATTATACTATCGATCTGCTGCCACTCTGTTTAAACACGTCTGCACTGACTGATGCAGAATAAACCAAACAGCATTTATTGTTTGACACTTCATTGCAGTCTTACTTAATCTTTTGGGGTTTTTTTCTAGACATAACTTTTATCCTTATTTTTTGACCAAAATCTTGGTGCATCCCTACTGTAAACATTCTATACTTCCACTATGACTTTTTAAAAAGAAGATAGCCATACAAGGTTGCCAGAGTAAGTAAAATATGATTATGATTATGATTATCATTGGGTTTTATACCACAATATATCATTAAAACCGGGAGCTGGTGCTGCCTCCACTAATACTAACTGTACTATGTAAAGCAGTGGTTCCCAACCCTGGTCCTGGAGTATCACTGCCCTGCTCATACCAGTGTCCTGCACTAATTGGGGCACTCGCATCCTTGCCTTCCTTATTAACATGTGCCTTCTAGGCTGTCCCTTTTCTCATTTTAGTGTTCAAAAGGTTTCGCCTAGTCCCCCTCTATGTGCACTTATTGCACCGTTTGGCGAAGGCTTTTTTGATACAGACAGCTTGTCAGCGGTCTTCTTCCTTTGCAAGGACCAGTCCTAGCAGATGGTTTTGTTTACAGCTTCCTGACCGACATGGCAGCAGATATTCAAGTGTGATCAAATGCATTTCTTGATTCATTTTTCTTGTTGTGGAGCTGCATTAAACTTGTAATCGATATGGAGCTGCTGTAGAAAAGCAAATTAGCTATAACATAACCAAAAGCATAAGGATATACAATACTTACACCCTGTCTGTCTGGGTCTGTCCCAAATGCAGGCTTGAAAACTTAGTCATCAAGGTGTTGGCTTAGAAATTTGAGATGTTTTTTCCTGCTCTAACACACCCACTTCAACCCAGGAAGTGCTTGTTAAGAAGCTGAACAGTGTGTTCAGGTGTGTGAAAACACCAAAATATGCAGGGTAGGGCCTCTCCAGGAAACATACAGTTGTAGTGAATGCAGCCTTTCCACATACTAAGCAAACACTGCAGTGAATGCATCGTGCCATGAAAACAACACTGTGCTAAGTGCACTTTGGCAGAGGTAGCAGCTCAAGCTGCATACGCTCAGCAAAGCTCACTGACCCAGCAGGTTTTAGGCAGTGTTGACTTGTTCTCACTCACTGTGCTTTACAGTGGCTTTTTCCTCTTCTTCTCTCGACTTTCATTTCACTTTTTTGACTGTGCGTTTTTCTCTCTTCCTTCTTTTTTTGTGGCAGCATGTATGAAGTGGTTGTTAATGTCAGCACATATTATGACTGGTAAAGATTACTTTTAATTTCACATCATTATGCTACTTCCTCTAGAACAGGTCCACTGTGATGGTGCAGTATGCATCAGAGAGATTGCTTGGGTAGGGAACTCAAGGTGAACCAAATCAGAAGATACACCAAGTCCCATCCAAGTCCTTGCTGAAGTTTTAAGGGCTCTTTTGCTGAGCTCTTCAGCTTGTCCTTGTTTTCAGATAGAACCATTTCATTGGAGGGGTTTGTATGTAATGACCCATGAAAGAATGTGTATTCCTTAAACAGTAGTCAGAGCTTCTGTGTCACATCATCATCATCGTTCAGGGACCTGCTTCACAGCGTAATAAAAGAATATAGCGTGCATTAGAATCAGTAGATCTCTACAATTTTATCCTTATTTTAGGGGTGTATAATAACGATATTAGGGATGTCATTAGAACTTGAAACTCGATTACTTGATTTAAAAAACTCAAAACTTTTACCCCTTTAATGGTTTAGGGGTGAAGAATTAGCAATAGTTGCATGATGATAATGCTAATTTTAAATTGTCCTAGTGCTCTATTTTACAATAAGTAACAGCTGGATGGACACACCCATTTATATGCATTTTTTTGGCACATATTGTATTTTATGATTTTACATAGTCTTTTTAAATGGCCTATTAGTTTGTTTAATTTCCAGTAAAGTGCTCTAGAATCTTTGAAAGGCTATGATATTGTTTAGTGTAAGTGTATATGGATTATTTGCCCCTTTTTTAAAACTCCACTTGCTTGTTTAATCGTCAAAACAATTACTTTGTTATTAGTATAAGCAAAATTGACAGCCTATTTTTAGATCTGAGGCCCTTTACCACAACGACCACCAAAGCTTATACATGCTTATTAAGTATCAGTGCTTTGTTCACATAGTTCTTCATCCTCCTAGACATCCTAAAAAAACATTCAGATGGCAAGAGGAGGATTTCTTATGTAAATTTTTGCATTCAGAATCCCACATGTCCATCAAAAACGCTTGATGGAGACTGTGATTGTTATTGTTTTGTGTTGTGTTTGCAGTATTGTGTAGTAGTTTGAAGTGATTGCTGCAGTACATGAGTGATGTAATGATTTGAGTATTAAGGACTGGAGGGCACATCTTGAACATCGTGAACGTACTGTGTGTGTGCATGCGGGTTGTGTTCCTCCACAGAGCTTTCCAATGCCCAGCTCACGGATGGACAGAGAGAGAAATTGGATTTGCCCCGTGGCGTGTATTTAGAGACGCTGCCCATCACTTGGTTGCTTTTAGCTTTTTCTGATTCTATTTCTGTTGTGTCCTCGCTGGCATCAACAAAAGCTTTGCCCAGAGTCTCATTAACGGCCAATTCTGGCACAGTCACTGCGAGGTGTTTGTGTTTGTAGGGTGTGTGTGTGTGTGTGTGTGTGTGTGTGTGTGTGTGTGTGTGTGTGTGTGTGTATGTAGGGTTCTGCTAAATGTCAGAGCCTGTGTCAGGTTTGAACACACACACAGTGCTATTACCTCCCTGGGGATGGAGGAAACTGCAGGAAGCCAAAGTGATTCAGTGTAAATTATGCACTTAGTCAACACACACACACACACACTCAGATGTCCTCAGCTCCCTCCACATGTCCTATTCTCTTTCACGAACAGCAGGTTGTATAGGCAGGCCAGTGTTTGACAGCAATGTGTGATTAATAGAACATGTCAGTCGTGCATCTCTACTGAATCACATAGCAGCAAGCAGGCTTCAGACATGCAGAGGTGACTTTATTTATGAGAACAGCAAATGATGAGCAATTTTGTCATATTCTGTGTTTGGTTAGTCTAAAAACTTGTCCTTTTTTGGGGAAAGTTTTAGGTAATAATGCACAGTGATATGTGAATCAGCAGGTAATTGCAAAAAATGATCAGCATTGGACAGATGTTTAGATATTTAGATTTGATATTTAAAACTGAGAGATTTGAGATTCATTGTTTATAATTACATGTATGGTATTTAGCAGATACTCTCATCCAAAGCAACTTACAAGAGTTCTTTGTTGTCGAGAGAATGTATCCTAGCTGGTACAAATAGGTACTATTTGTACGAAGTAGTCCCTCGATATTGCTTGAATGATTTGTCGACTGTGATGGCCACCTAGACACAGCAGCATGCTATAATTTAGGAAATGCTAACGATGTTTGTATAATGCATGTTGGCCAAATTTGCACTTGTGTTATTTGCTAACACTGGCAGCTCTCTGCTTGAACATAATATTACCTCTGTAATCCAATATTTCATCCACATTCAAAGCCTGACTTCTGGTAAAAAATACTGCTGCCTTGGGGTTGTTTACCTTGCTATGACTGCAGCACTGTCAATCGTTGTGTGATCTGAAAAACCCAGGCAGTGCTAACCAAGCAGTGCAGATGAGTTTATTGTATTCTGGTTAAGTCTATTGTCTTCAGGAAACCTGTTTTCAGTTTTTCAAAGAAATCTACAGGGATATTTTTCCACACCTCCAAAGTTCAGTCTTAGAAGCTGGTTGCATTTTCTGCTTCTCCCAAGTGAGAACACCAGCAGCTTTTTAGTTTGGAGTCCAATTTTCTCTGTATATTTTAATCATTTTTTGAACTCCAGTTTTGGAAACTCCTGTTTTTCTCTTATTTTTCTTTGACTTCCCCCTTCCTTATTTAAGTGGATTATCTGATACCTAATTTTCTCAGAAAAATAACTTCTTAATAACGTTTTAATGGCTCTAGGCTGTAATTGAGATATTTTAATATTTGCGTTTGAGTTGACAGGTGTACAGGCTGTGAGAGTTTTGTTCAGTGTGGTGTTTTTCTGTATAAGGAACACTTACAGAGCTGACCAGTCTTGTCTTTGCTCCTGAAATGCTTATCTTGACTTCAAGCCTTTTCAGTTCCTGTCTTTTCTTTGCCTTAATTGGTTTAGTTGCCCAACTCAAAATAGCATGTGGTAATTTTTCAATCAAAAACATCTGCGTGTCCATGCCTTTGGCGTGAAGGGCAGCTGTGGCCGCTCAATCCTGTATCGATTACTGCCAAGCTTTGGGCTACAAGTTTTCTCTTTGTTACACACTGAATCGATAGGTAATTAGTTGAGAACATACGTTGTGGATTAAAACACGGTCTGTGGTGTGCGTGTGTGTGTGTGTGTGTAATGTGTGTGTGTAATGTGTGTATGATAAGTATGAACCCTGAGTATTAGAATATCACGTGAATAATTGCTAATACAAAATGAATGGTGTTTTGTACTTGAAACATTCAGTGCTATATTTGCTAACCATGGGAGACATAATGAAACTTGCACTTCCTCTAACAGTTCAAGTGAATTCTTGTAACTGCAGTTGCAGTTTCATGTCTGACTTCTCTCCTCTGGTTTAAAGTCAGATGTGTGAATGTTTTTTTGTTTCTGTCTCCCCACAGGCAGGGAGTCCGACTTCTGTTAACGCCCCCTGCAGCTTCTCCCGGACTTCAGTCACACCTTCGAACCAGGACATCTGCAGGTAGGACTTCATCACTATGAACTGCGGGTTCTTTCAGGTGCTGCAGTGTGCGCTTGGCCATGTCCTCAAAGCAGGCCATCCTTGGCGCTACTCATGAGGAATATGATGCTAGGCATGGAGGGGGAGGTTGAGGCTTTTATTAAAGGACTGGTAGTGTGACTCATAGCAGTATTGAGAAGCCTTTTTCCAATAGGCTGGCACTGCCTGCCTTTATTCTGCTGTCTCTTTTATCCCATTTTTCACTTCACACCTCTCTTTCTTTTCTTTTTTTTCAGTTCACTCTGTTCTCTCGCTGTCTAATGCATGTTGCATGTCTCTGTTTCATTGTTCTCTCTGCCCTCTCTCTCATCCTTGCCACTGTCCTCTGTTTCCACACTGTCCCTTTTCTCTGGCATGCAGCTCTAATGGTGGCAATCGAGTTCAAGCTGCGCAGACCGCTGTGGTTCTGCTGAACTCTGACGGCAAAGGCTTGGTGTCGCAGAGCGTCACCATGACGACCTTGTGTCTCGACTCCCCCGCCAAACCCAAAAATAAGACAGCATTCGGAGCGGAGTGGCTCTCGCTGCTGAAGCCTTCAGTTGGCCTCAGGCCGAACAGCGGAGCTCTCAAGTTCTCAAAGTCCTTGAACGATGTGGGCCAGAAGATGGACGGCCTGTGCAGCGGCCTGCACTTCATCGACCGCACATGCTCAGAGGGTGAACTGGGCCCAGAAACAGAACCAAAAGCTCTCAATGGCAAACCGGCCAACCTGCCCTCTCCCCCATTACCCTCCCAGCCTCTGTCCCTCTCCAGCACCTGCGCCTATGGAGGCAGCATTGGGCCAGAGCGTTGTTCCCAAACCTCCGAGCTTCAGAAAAGCTCCAACTTGCTGCGCTTCCTTTTCCCGTTCCCTCGCTCATCCACAGCGGGCAGTCTGCAGGCCGGGGAACTGACCGGCTACATCACCAAATCGTCCAGCGCCCTGCTGGAGGCCTGCGGCGAGGAGATGGGTGACGACGAGGTATTCGAGGATGACCCGTCCCAGTGGAGGCCACTAAAGGCTGAGGAGCGACGCGCCCCGCTGTGCTCGCTTGAAGAGGACAGCGACTTGGACCGATGCTCCTCACCACTGTCCGAAAAAGCAGCACCTCTCTCACCGTACTCTCTGTCCGGAGACTGCTGCAGGTTGGTGGGGCTTCCTCTCTCACGCTCGGCCCCCCATTACCCGTGTGTCCCGGCCTTTTAGCAGAGGTGGTCCATCTGTAGAGTCCCATCACCCTCATGCCTGCCTTTCCAAAATGATAAGGTCCTGAAAAAACCCTTCTCCTCCAGCCTGGCTGAACCCCCTATTGTGGAAGTGTGGCTGTGCTGTAGATTTGTAGTTGTGTGCTTTTTTTCCTCTGCTAATTGCTATCATTGAGATCAAATTATGTGATCAGTTACTGCCTTAGCAAGATGAATGAAAAGTCAGAAATGTAGAAAAGATTCTGAAATGTAATTGATCAGCCATGACATGACTGCTGTCTGAAGTTTTCACTGTAGCTACCGATGTAGCAAATAAGTCGTGGAAACTTAAATGCCAACAATTAGAAATGTTTAAACTTCTTCCCTTCATCACTTTTCGTTAAATTAAGTCAAATTGTTTAATAATGTCACTTTTGTAATTTCTGACATGGTATAATATACTGTTATCTATAAAAAAGACGAAAATAAGGTCAAAATTCAGCTTTCAAAGTGGCTGCTGCTTCTTAGCTATATGATGTACTTTTGTCCATTTTTATTAATAACAGTATTTCATACAGTGTCAGAAACAACATAACCAGGTTACATTACAGCTAACATGTCACAGCTGATTGATATCAGTATTATATTTAGGGTCATTTGTGTTTTTCAAGGAGAAAGTTGTGCAAATTAGATTTTTCATATTGTCTTTTAGTAGGTTAGACTAACAGTCTGTATTATGTACAGTCATATAGTTACATGATGTATAGCCACACTTATATGGATATTCTGTGGAGGTTCCCAGGTGAGAACACGTCCAGGGAGTCCAGTCGATAGCAGACTCTGGCTTCAGTTACCTGTGGCAGCTCATCGATTGGTGGAACGCTGCCAGGTTTTGTGGGAGAAAATGGAGGGGTAGATCTGATTACAGCACAGGTCGTAGTTCCACAGCCCGGGGAGCTAAAAGACAGCAAGATAACTGCATTTCTATCTGCTCATCCATGAGGCTGCGTAGATGCACTGCGGTATAACTTTATGAGCTGTGTAAACCGTGGTTCACCTACAGCAAACTTTTGAGCATGGAGCTCTGAAATCATTCCCTTAATTGTCCATTTTAGTTCTGGTGTTTTCTCTCAGCACTGTGAATCTGTTTTAGTTATTCATGCATGCGTACATCATTTCTGTTCCATTTTTTTCTGAAAAAGGTCAAATTTTCCATTTGTTCCTTTTTTTTTGTTAATGGCAGTTCCCGTTATGTGGTGCCTCTAATGTGCATGAAGCCTGTCTCTGCATCTTTTCAGACTGTTTTACAGACGGTGGCCATCACTTTGTCATCCCTGTTCCCTCTTGGTGACTGCATTTCAAACATCATAAGAGAAACTTAAAATAATTTTTTACTGCATCATTTTTTAAGTTAAACACATAATTTTGTTTAAAATATATATCAGAAAGAGAGATGTAGTTCCTATAACGCTTTGCTCCAATGGTTATACCGCTAAACATTCAGTGCTGTCCTTGAGGAAACATTATTGGTTAGAAAAAAGCACAGCTGAAAATACTGCAAGTGCTGGAGTTAAAAGAGAATGAGAAAGTCTGGCTTGAGGAATCAAAGAAAACAGTGAACTACTAAACAAAGGAAAATGGAAGAAATGTTCCTGGCAGTGTATTGGCTTATGTTCATGAGCCCTCTAGATAATTTCCTGGTTATTGTACGAGGTCTCATCTTGTTCTTAGGATTTTGACTCTGACTTGCGTTCACACTTACTGCATTCTCAATTAATTACCTTTGAATTCCCCCGTGCAGTCGCATGCAAACGTTTGAATACCTGCAGTCAAATGACATATTAGGTTAATTTTCTAAGTGAAAATAAGTTAACACATTGTCTGCAGTAAACAATTTAGATATGGCATTTTCCTGCAGATTGCAGTGCTATTTTAATTTATATTTGTTTGCTGAATTTAGTATATTAGAAAACAAAAAACGTGTTTCTAGTTTTATATGTTAAATTATTACATATAAATTATTGTTCCCACTTCCTGCTAGGTTGTTGCTAGGCAGTTACTATGGCATCCCAGGTGGTTGCTAAATTGCTGCTAGGCAGTTGCCATGGTGTTATGGGGTTTATTTTGTTGTTCTTAGGGAGTTGCCAAGTGTTAGCTACGTGTTGTTGAAAACGAATGGGAGTCTATGTGAGGAACGAGAGATGAAAAAATGACACAAAGAGGAGTGCGGGTCAGTATGACTGGATTAGAGCTTGGTGGAGCTGCCCTGAGTTAGTACATGCATTTTGGTGTCTGTTGGACAAAGAAAAAAACAGGGCTGGTGTTTAGGCGAAAATGAATGGGACGCTATGCGAGGAATGAGGGATGAAAAAATTACACATAGAGGAGTGCAGGGCAGTATGGCTGTGCAGTATAGTTTGAGATCTTACCATTAGTAAGTACATGTAGATTGGTGGCTGTAGGGCAACAAAGTAATACAGTTTGTGTGGTGGCGAAAATGAATGGGACTCTATGGGAGAAATGAGGGATGGCAAAAAAAGACAAACAGATGAGTGTGGGTCAGAACAACATTAAATTCGGGGACCTGCCCTGAGATAGTACATCCAAAACAGTGTCTTTCGGTCGAGGATTGTCATGCAATTTTTCACCCCATTTATTCCTATGGAGAAAAAAGTCTGTAAAAACCGTGCATCTGATCAAAAAAGCTCTATACAAGCCTGAATCATGCAATCAGATCAGACAATCTGGAGTTGGAACAGTGCTGACATTTTGAAAACTGCAGGATGAGAATCACAGCAAAAATCTGGCAGAGAAGTAAGAACAATAAAAGGAAGAATAATGTAAAATGAAGAACAATATAGTTGCGCATTGCAAGGCTGGGAATATGCGTTGGCTCTGTGACCTCTGGCTTTGCTGTCAGTGAACAGCACAGTAGCTTAATTGGACACCTGTTTTATATCCTACAGTTCAGGCCATTGCTTTGCAATGTGCAACCATAATAAACCATAAAAGATGCAAAGGCCACATTTTATGTTTTATTTTATTTGTGAATCAAATGTGCAGACGTATGTTCTCCGTAGATGATGAGCTTATTTTCACGTTGTAATTCGAACATTTATATGTACAAATATACATACAAATATATGTTTTCCTGTGCTTTTCTGCCTGTCCGTTCCCAGTGAGTCACAGTCCCTCTGTTGTGCTAGATGCTTTTTGTACACCTTTTTAAAGGCCAGGTGAGGTTTCTGTTCCCACATGCCCTTCCTTCCTCATGCAGTACTTTAGAAAAGCACGTGCTCCGCAAATAGCAGAACAGCCGAGCCCACTGAGCCTGGCTGAGAGGGTTAAAGCAGCGCTGTGATGGCCAGGGCATGGGATCAGCCTTGCAAGCGTCAGTCCAGGTCAAAGGGCACCACTTGCATGTGCACCTCAAACAAAGCTCATGTGTTTGCATGTGTGCCAAACATGAATGTAGAGTTGATGAAAGAGTTGGTATAGTATGAGTGCAAGTGTTGTTGATTCTAAGAGAGTTGATGTAACATGAGTGCAAGAAAGCATTCTTAGACTCTGTGTGGGTCTTCATTTATACAGTTCATGGATGTTTGCGCAATATTACTGATGCAGATATCTGCAAAGAAAAATTGGGTAGTGAAATGAATCAAGCTGTGAGGAATGTTTTCATAAAAGGAATGTTGCAGTATGCTGGGTAACCTAGATAGATGAATATTTTAGTCAATATGGCACATGAAACTGACATTTTCAGTATAATATGGATGTGACTCTGTGCAGAGGACCACTTGCCCTTTCTTCACGCAAGTACTTGTAGTTATATCTAGTGTGGATATCTTTAGCTTGTAGTGGTTTTTACTCTGAGCTTGTGTAATGATCGCTGGGAGAGGCCTGAACTGTAGGATATAAAACAGGTGTCCAATTTAAGCTACTGTGCTGTTCATTGACAGGAAAGGCAGAGGTCACAGAGCCAGCGCTAGAGCCCAGGACCAGTTACCTGAGTTGGGAAGAAGGATAAAGAAAAAAGGGAACGTCTTATATGTGCTAATTAGATTGAGTCGGTCTAATCTCTGAGAATCTGGGAGTGTGTGATGGGCTTAAGATGTTCTGACTGAAATAAATCTGTGTGGAGGGGGCTCTGATGTGCTATTGCCTTTGGGCTACATTTTGAATAGCGCTTTAAAAATAGATCCGGTCATTACTTATTGATCTTCTGTGTCTGATGTAAAGTTGATGTTTGCTCTGTTTCTGTTTTTGAATCAAGTTTCGATAGAAAATGTTTTTTTGGATTTCATTTGGTTTCTTTTGCTGTTCATTTGTCATGCTGACTCGCCCAGTCGTTTTGTTTATTCATTTGAGTTTAGTTGCTTATTCACTGTTCTTCGCCTCGCAGCAGGTGAGAGAAAACCATTTTTCACTTTATCAAATTACATTCATTCATATTACTCACAATTGTTCCATGTCTCACAAAGGCCTGACCGTTAACGCATCAGAACCAATAGATTCAACCGGGTTTCAGGCTGAGCGTTACAGCCATTATGCATGTGTAGGGTTTATCATAGAGGTCTTGCGAAGTCTGCAGACTCATCAGCTCTCTGAATTGGGTAGAGAAATGAATTGTCTCCCGCCATCTGAATACAAATAATATCAGTGATGACAACCACTAAGTGGCCTGTTCCTCTCCATTACTCTCAACTCCGTACGCTTGTTATCTGCAGAATCTCCACTGTTTGTAAAGGAGTGTGTGTACTGAAGGAGACATAGCATGTCTTGTTTTCTCTTTTGTTCGTGCTGTCTGTTAATCTTGTAAAGCCTTGACCGGATAAGGCCAGCCTGGAAATAATCATTATCCTGCTCATTCACTCTGAAAAGCTGCGTCTCAACACTAATACGGAAACAATCCTCCGTCCCCCTCATTAATGCCCCCACGCCCTTCCCACACTGTCAGGAACGCATTTACAGGCTACGGGGGATGGTCTGCAGATGTGTTTCTCTGGCTGATGTCCGTGCTATGCCGTTCTAGGTGTGGCTTGGTGTTTGTTCGCTGTGGGTTGGCCCCTTATTTTCTTAAGCTTTCTCTCAGAATCTGGCTAAAGGACAGACATCTTTCGCAAGCATATCCACAGAAGTATTGCATAAACTCGAATGCCCTAGCTATGCAAAAACAGTGAAAATTTAGGAGGGGTTCCTAGGGACAATGTCATACTGTTTGGACAGTATTAGTTTTACATGAGGAGGTAGGGTATTATAATTTTTCATTTTAGTCCCTTATGAATCCAGCATGTCAGTCATTTTTGGACTGGGCAGTACCCCGTCAGTAAAGATTCCAGCAGTTCTAACCCAGTATAACATGTACCATAGAAATAACCCCAGGTTATATTATCCACATAGGAACTGACATATCAGTAAAAATGCTATTCTTGTGGAAAAGGAGTTTTGTGTGTTTTCCTAAGTATAGGTGCACTCAAAGAAGCCATTTCTTTTGTTCCGTGTAGCTCAAATCAAGCCAATATACAGTGTGATTCAGAAAAATTTATCCGAATTCAAAATTATTTATTTCACTTGTAAATCATTACAGAACAATGCAGTAAACTGTAAATGGTTAAACTGAGCACAAAGTTTATTATGTAATTTTACAAGTGCTCAATATGAACCTCCTCCAGCTGTATGGACAACATCAACATGATAGTCAAATTCATCCCATACTCGATTGAGCATGTCGGGTGTCACTGCACTCACGGCTCTTTCAGTGTGATTTCAGAGATCATCCAGTGTTGTGGAACCAACAACGAATGCTCTGAGCTGTTGGAGGTTCACTGCCGATGAAAATCACGTTGCACAGTTATGACAGATTCACTCTTATTGAAGTGGAGAACACAAAATGCTTTCTGCTCAGGGTCGCTGTCTCCTCGCAGACTGAAGGGAGCCAGCTTCCGGTGAAACTCTATGACCCCCTCTTTCAATTGGTATGTGATTGGTTCCTAGGAGCCTCACGGTTGTAAAAATATGGCGTTTTGAAATCGGCTGAATCTTTTTGAATCACCCTGTATGTCCTCCTACCGCAAGTGTATAACTGAAAACACTGAAACATGTAAAATGACAGAGAAAAGTCATGTTGACGTTGGCGATGTTCCAGTCTAATCTAAGATCCCAAGCTAATGACAGTGCTAATGACACATGGAATTCATTTAAGACAGCTAGGTAGATTATTAGAGTGAACAAATTTATATTTAACTGAAATATTTTGACATTTGAGATTTCTTACCCCTTTCATAATGGTGTAAACATTACTGACGTCCTGAGGTAAAATTACATTAGCCCACCTCCACATGTAAGTCAGAATAGTACTACAATGTTAGCAATCTTAGCAAAAAACTCTGCTATATAGAACCACTTTAAAAGGATTCTATAAATAACCGTTTATGTTTTTTCTTCATAGAGATGAACCATCTGACCATGCAAAGAACCATTTATGCATCCAAATGGTTCATGAGTGTTCATGGTTCTATGGACAAGCATCGCTTTACTAAAAAACCCTTGGAGAACATTGTTTTAAGAGCATAATAGAACCAATTTTGGTTCTCTAAAGAACCATTCAGTGAATGTACAAGTATGAATGACCTTCCTTTTTTAAGTTTAAAGAACTTTTACCTAATGTAAATGCTGTATTAGTTAAAGGCTTGGACATGTAGATCTAGGAAAACCAAGAACCATTTAGGAACCTTTTTGTTGTTTTGAGTGTAGTTTATAAAGAAAAGAAAAATTCAGGCAGTGTCTCTCCTGGCGCTTCAGCAACATTTGCTGTCCATTTGAAGTGCATCAGTCTGACGTGAACTGCTTTGAGATTCCCTTTGAACTGCTGTGTTTCTCAGCAGCACAAGGGCACTGCCACCTTCACCACAGGGCCGCTTACATTTGGCCTATACTTTAGACCATCATAGCTAACTACTTAGCTGTTAGCTGTGGGTTCCAAATCACAAATTGGCTCTGTGTGTGTTTGTGTGTGTGTGCCAGCGTGAAATTGATTGTGTGTCCTCTTCTTTGTTGACTCTTGTAATCATTCCTCCACTTCCACCACATGAAGTTGCTTTGCTTTCTATCAGTGGCCTCCCTTTTTCTTTTCTCTCAGTAGGCATTCTCATCCCTCGTTCAACAGTAACAAATGTCTCCAGCTCCTCTGTCACATATTGAAGGCTGCTCTAGTGTCCCTGTCTCTGGTCTGATGTAAAGGCATGGGGGGTGGGATTTCATACCTATTCTGTTGATCCAGCTGGGAGAAATGAGAGAGGTGTCATTCCAGAAATCCTACATAGGGAGGGAGATGTTAGATTGGATGTTTGCAGCATTGATCTGAATGCAGGATGGACGATGGGGTGTGATTAGAGCATGTGGTGGACTCATGCCCCCATGTGGCGGTCTCTTCACACATGCTGAGGCTGCATTCACATTACAAGTGTATTCAAGTTAGCTGCTGATGACCTTAGATAATAACAGTTATGATGAAGAAAAATCTTTCTGATCTGTCTGTTCTCTTTATAGCTGCATTGCTGTTTGAAACAGTTGCATGCAGAAGTGTGGGTGCTGTTCCACAGTATCAAAATAGAGCACTGGGAAATCTAGTCCTGCCTACTGATTAGAGTGGTGGAAAGTTTGGTTGCATTGTCTTTGCTCTTCAGTGTGTGTTTGGCTTGGAACAAGGGTGCTTGTTCAGACTTTACCTGTCTGCTGAAATCTGTGTTATGTGCCTATTTTATTCCTACCCTGTGAGTGTCTGCTGAGTCCGTCTTTGTGTAAGTTTTGAATGTTTCCTTGGTCAGATAGTGTTTTGTTGATTTTCTAAGTGAAAAATAAGTTCAGTTCCTCTACAGATAACACACTTCTGCACATTTTGATTCACAGTTAGTGTTGATTTGCTGAATTTAACATAGTGAAAAGTAAAAAATAAGAAATAAGGCTTTTGCAAATGTTATGGCACATTTTATGTTTTCTCTTTTATTTTCTTCTAATTAAACTGTGCACAGATGCCAAGATTAGGTGTGTTCTCTGTAGAACACACTTAAACGTGTTCTATTTCATCATACTTTCACTAAGACGATCAACAGAATGTGCCATTTTGGTATTCCAACGCTGGCATATGATTGTATATATTTATGGCCGTATATAAAAGGGGCTCAGAACTGATTTGAAAAGAACTGTTTTATTTTTTTTTTGTTGTTCATATAACTCTGAAAAAAGTCAGATCCGTGACACATTTAGGAAAAAAAATCTGATTTTTGAGCCACTTTAACCCTGTAATGTCAATGTATCTATATTGTAATAAAGGCTTTATAACTCAGCGCAGAGTACCATGAATACATGAGTACATTTTGCTTTTTTTCTTGCATCTCAGATCTCATTCCATGCTGCATGCACGCAGCTTCAGCCTTGTAGTAGATGAAAAGGGTCTACAGTGGTAACAGTGTAATATAGGTCAAGACTGTGCTGAACCTGGAAAGCCGCTGCCCATGTGCCTTGTGATCTCCCTTTCTGTTTGTAATACATGTAGTCATTTTCATACAGCTGATTCTAACCTTTCGTAGTGTCAATGCCTGTAAATGGACATATAGAAACATCAAGCAGACAAAGCATTCAGCTCACATCACAGCATGTCATATACTCATCCTTTACTGTTATAGATATAGAACTACCAGAACACAAAGCTTCCCACATCTTTCTGATCCTACAGTTTTACTTTGGAGCAAAACTGCTTGTGAGCTGGAGCTGCTTTGTCAGCCTGCTGTGTGTTCATGTGAAGTTCTCTAGGTTCTTGGGCGATTGTGAGCTTGATGCTGTGTGTGTGTGTGTGCAGGATCTGTCACTGCGAAGGTGATGATGAGAGTCCGCTGATCATGCCTTGCCACTGCACGGGTAGTCTGCGCTTCGTGCATCAGGCATGCCTGCAGCAGTGGATCAAAAGCTCCGACACGCGCTGCTGTGAGCTCTGCAAGTTTGAGTTCATCATGGAGACCAAACTGAAGCCTCTGCGGAAGGTAACCACACACGCACTCATGCTGATATCTTGTCATGTTCAGCTTCTTATGCACAATGAATGTATTTTAGAGCTCTGAGAGTAGAGATGTGTTATGTTAAATACACCACACATGTCAAGGTATTAAATACATCTACCTTGTACCTTCCCTTACTGGCCATTTCATCAGGAGCACCTACCATATGGGTGCGATTTGTAGCATCCCAGCAGTGCAGCTGTACCATATATACTCGTACCAACGCAACACATATCAGTGGAGATCAGGAAGGTGTTTTTCCTGATGAATGGACCAAAAGAAATCACCCAAAAGTACATGGAAAAAGTCTGTTTCCATTGACTTACATTAAAAGTAAAGTATGTTTTTTTCTGTCTCCTGTAAAGTTGCTGTTATGGAGCTATGAGGTTTTGTTCTAACAACAGCGAAATGCATCAGACCACTGATGCACACACTGCTCACTCTGCTTTCTTTTGTTCTGGACAAACTCTATGCAAATTATTTGAGCAGCAGCCAATCAGATTGTTGATTCTGTCACATCTATAGTCACACGTTGAGACTGAACACTCAAAATACACACCGAGTGTGGAGAAGTTGTCTGGTACCTAATATCCCAAGGGTTTGGAGGAGAAAGTGAAATTTTACCCATTTCCTAAACCGAAGACACGAGAAGTCTGTTGTGAGAATTAAACAGTGTTAAATGCTGAATTACCAATTAAACCTGTGAAAGAAACCGCACATAACATGTCTGATATGTGGATAAATTGGCTAACTAGCAAGTCTGGCTTTCCTGTTGAAGTCCTGTTTCTTTGTTAACTCAGTGGATTTAGTGTCATCTGTAGCTGAGACAAATAATGAGATTAAGTAATCATGATGGAAGCCACAAGTTGAAAAACATAGACATCTTCTAAGAGGCAATATCCACTGTAACTTTTTGTGAATGGGCTGTGTACTTCTGAATAAATCCTACCTTTGCCCTTACTCTAATGGGTAACCCACATTTAATTTTATCCTTAAAATACACATAATTGCACGTTTACTTGTTCTGCAGTAGACGAACAGTCTTCTTATCTTCATCTCGTCTTTGTGGATCACTATTTAAAGAAGCTTCACATTTTTAATTATATGGTTAGACTGTAGCTTCTTTCTTTTTGTTCATTTAGTGCCAGTAGGCTGCAAAGGGTCAGTTCAAATAACAGAGAATTTCACAAGGTTTAAATGGCTAATAGTTACATATACTTTTGGCATTGGTATTGCGTACTGTAATTGCGGTCAGGTTATTAGAGTGATTATGCAGAGACTTGTTTTGCAGTATTATTTGTCTGCTGAAACATGCATCGCGAATCTTGCAGGACTGAAGCTTGTCACTACGTGTTGCTTAGTTATACACATAACCAGCCTGTTTAAGGTGATGGCGTGGGTGGCTGACATAAATATAGTGGTGTATAATGGATAGGCTACAAACATACAAACAAACATGTCAGTGTAAACCAACAAAGTGCATCTGAATGGAATGTAGACTGATAAAATGAGCAAAACTACATTTACATTCACATAAAACCCCAGCTAAGTTCTTAGTCTGAACCAAACCAAGATGTGTACAAGAGTATAAACACCTTGTCCATTTATGTTAAACATTGTTTACATGCCGTTTTTAACGTAAGGCATGTCATATCCTCCTTTGTTTTGGTGTTAAAACCTGGTCATCACAAGTGTGGTACTACAGAAATGTGTGGTACTACAGGAACAAGGTCAGGTCAGTGGAGTGATCTATGTTTAATTTACATTATGTAGTTGGATCGTGCCAAATGAACCATGTTTACATGATTATATCTTAGACTAGCAGTCTTAATCAGACTGATATTGAAACATTGGTGTGCATGTAAATGTAGATACTGAGTGTACCTACAAAGTAGGTGTAGCAAATAAACTGGCAACTCATTCTATGTTGGACAAATCATGAACAAAAAGGCAGAGAATGTTGTTAGTGTGTAAATACATTTACCATTTTCAGAGTTGCTGCTGCTTGAAAGCCTAGATTGCGGTTATTTCTAATTAAACCTAATTTGACACCCTGCATGCAAAAATGTGCTTTTAATATGGATAAATCTTTTTGGAGGGCTTTTGATTATATTGACTGAGTATCAAATGTGTTACTTTGGAGCAGAGTTCATATTTTCCATTGAAAGCACAGCCTTTCTTAAAAAAAAAAACAAAAAACGTTTGTTAGTTTTGTGAGCATGAATCTATCATGGTCATATGTACTAACGTATGCTAATGAGTGTATTACAATAGACAGCAGGAAACTTGTGCACAGCTACAGAACATGCCTGCAATAATGTGGCTTACTTGTTTGAAATGGGCAGTGCAGTAAGCTGTTAGCTAAAATAGATAAATATGTTCGACATCTGTCTAATAAACTGTCCAATGTGGTGTAGAGCCAGTAGCAGATAACATGCTACTGCAGTAGCTTAGTATGTTACAGCTTCACACATCACAGCACAGGTTCATTCCAGCTCACTGAAGATTCACTGACACACGTTTAGAGAATAAAGACTCAAATTTGAGGGGATAAGCATATGTTTTGGGTGTGGAACTGTTAGCTTAAGTTGTTACCACCCGAGATTAACGTGAGCTCAGCAAAAAGGCTAAATCACCAGCGTTTCAGACTTGCATCAGCCAAGTGGATGAGGTAAATGATGCTCTTTCTTGTTCATATCATACCATCTCATACAGCCAATTGAGGCTACAAACTACTTCCTTCTCAGCAGACTTTAATGATTAAATGCTGGATGTTTATTAGTAGAAGGAGCAAAATGCAATTCCAGGCAGTGCCATTATTAACCTTTATTGCCCACCGGTTCCTCCTTTAATTAAATTTCCTGTGTTGTGTGTCTCATACAGCGCGTCAAATAGTGAGTCTCTGAGTGGCTTGTGTACTGCCCTGGGCTTTGAGCTCTAACAGGCTGCCGTAGAACATGTCAAGGCCAGGTGCCTGTGAGTTACACAAGATAATACCAACAGGACATGTCAGCCTAGATCACGGTGAATGCATTCTCTTCAGTTCTGCCACATTATTATGCTCTCTGGCTGATCCGTCTTCTCACACTGAGTGTGTAATGGGTGGAAAAGAGTGGTTTGTATTCAGAGGTTGTAAATGCCCTACTTTGAGTTTGTGGTTGTTGTCAGTTTAACTGGTATAGAACCATAGCATTGTCCCGATGGATATTAAGATTTAAGGTCATGGAATAGTTGTGGAGGTGTATTCAGTGCTGTCAGAGACCACCCTTCATTGATTTAATGTCCATGGTCGTTAAGTATGCTTGTTTTTTTCAGCGTTAGGAAAAAAGGTTTAACTGAAAATTATGTAGAAGTTTGAAAGGTCAGTTTTATAAATTAGTGGTGTTTTCTGCTTTTCACAATTCAGTTCATCACAAAAATAAATAAATAAATAAAAAAAAACACATTCAGTGATGAGGTCTGGACTCTGGGGTGGCCAATCCATTGTTCTGAGAACACCAGCACTTTGATTTGCACTTTAATTTTTTGTCTATTTCATTTTCTCAGTAATTTATACTTGATAGCTGTGCATCATTTCAGACCCATAGCTTTATGTTGTTGACTCATAGTGAAAATATGGACAGAAATGCTTGTGGAAGCAAGAGTAGGGCTTGATTTTCTCAAAGATGAAAGCTTTACGTACTGTTAATCTGACCGTTACAGTTTTTGGTGGTCTAGCAGATCTTGTACGGTTGTTAGGAGTTCCATTTTCTCTGAATCTTTTAATATTTTTTTAACTCCTTTTTTTTTAAACTTGGGTTTTCACTTCCTCACTTGCTTGCTGCCTCTGCATATTTTCTTATCTGTTTGCACTTGGAGTGCAGTTTGACTTTTTGATTTCAGAACTTATCACATGGGGCCCATCTAATAAATTATTCAAAGCAAAATAGATGGGGTGTCCTGATCACAGGACGCAGAAGAGCTGATCTTCAGTAGCTTTCTTTGAGAGCAGAATTTTAGAGCACTGGGTGGCTCTTTTTCTCAGCAGTGGCTTTTCTGAACACCAGCTGCTTAGAGCAGAGCCTTTCAGGGACATCGCTGAAATTTACTGAACATAAGTATGTGCTCTGCCTTCAGTGGGCTCTACAAATGAATCACAGTTCTTTAGCTTCCTGGCTGAAGTTTAATAAGAAGTTTATGTATTGATATTAAGAGTGTTTTAGCAAATGGACTTGATTGATTGTTAAGTTTGACTTTTCTCAGCAGCCCTGAGTTTGTTGGCCCTGTGGGTATTTGTTTTTCAGGACTTATAGCTTTATTGAGAGGCATGCTATGAAGCTGCTACACTGGGATGGCACAAACAAATCCACATTAAATATTTATGGTTATGAGTGGAAAGACCAGGTAAAATCAGGTCTTTAAACTGGATGCACTCTGTCTGAGTATTCTATAATGAAACAGTGCAGGTTGCAAGACAGAATGAGTGGGTTTGGACCAAAATCCTGTTTGTTATGACATCAATAAAGGGGTAAATACTGTCTGTTGTTATTGTACACTTGTTAGGAAAGAAATCGAGGTATTCTTGTCGTTCTGATTATGGATGCCTGTTCTCTGTGTGTTTTTGTTTAAAGACACAAGGCTTGTGCTAATGCCCTCCTTGTCTCTCTCTCGCTCTGTAGTGGGAGAAGCTGCAGATGACTGCGAGCGAGAGGAGGAAGATCATGTGCTCGGTCACTTTCCACGTCATTGCCATCACCTGCGTGGTGTGGTCACTGTACGTCCTGATTGACCGCACTGCAGAGGAGATCAGACAAGGTCAGTTGTCCTACCCTGATCCCAGCCAGCCCTTGTTGACTCCCCAGCCTTCACCCGTCTCCCTGAGTCATCTCACCAAGACCCCATTTGTTCTGCTGCTGCTCATTCAGGGTTTGCTGTAGGTCTGTTACATCCCGACCGAAGAATGGTCTTACTTAATGGAGCGTAGTGTGGAGTGTTAATGATGTCCCTCATTCAGCCGATGTATCTTCAGCCGTCTTGTTCTAAAGTTAAATGCCTATTTTTCAGCTGCGCCTACCAAAAGAACATTTTTATCTGATAGTCATCACGCTGCATTATGTACACAGCTTATATAAGTCACTCCTGCAGCTATTTAAAGATGTAATTAAAGTGGAAAAAGTAAAATTCCCCTCCCCACTTGCTCACGCCTCCTATTCCTACCTGTAGCGAAATAGTAATAAACTCTCTTTAACCATGCAGCCGGAAGAATACCAGGTAAAACACTTTCTCCTCTCACATCTGATTTGTCTTTCCTCTGACATCTGACTCTGGTTCTTAATCCACGTATCCAAATGTCTAATCTTGCCTCCCCTTCTCTCCTCAGATGTCTGATCCCTTGCTTCTCTCTGCTCAGATTGTCTGATACTTCCCTCTTTTCTGTTCTCCCTTCAACTCTACATGCTAGAGTTTCATCCACCATTTTGAGCCTTAACTGCTAAGCACTTCCAGGGAAGAGTTCTAACACACTCTGAATAATTTCTGTATGCTGTAAGTGCATGCTTAATGCTGATGGGCTAAGCCACTTGATTCTGATTTTATTTAATGCAGGAAGGAGCATTGGGAATGCAGTGTAACTTTAAATATTAAGGCTTGTAAGTTACGGATGTGTTTGAATAGAACTCAAATTAAGACTTTGATTAACCTATCCATGCTTTGCCTACAAATGTGCTATTTCGTAGCAACTGTTGTGAGGGTGTGTGAATACTGACAAAAATCAGTTTTTGTCACAATACCTACATTTAGAGTGCGTTATTAATTTCAGATTTTGTATGCGTGTGAGTGGCCACGCTGTTAGGATAGATCGGGTGTAGTGTTTTTTTCTTTCCTGCTTAGTTTTGATAAGCTACCACAACATAATGCAGTAGTGAGTAGTGTAGCATTTTAAACTGGAAACTTAACATGTAATGACACTAAACAAACATTTTAATGTTTCAAATGATTCCGCTATTTTGATTTAGCTATATTTATATGTTTGACAATTTCTCATTAGGTTAAATGGGATTTTTGTCAGCATTGTGTAAAGCTTGTCCAACCTAGTAACAGTTGTTATGAAAGAATGCATTTGTGGGAGCAGCATAGATTGGCACAGACAAAGGCTGTGACTGAAATGGATTTCTACTTCCTAATTAATGCAGTGTGTAATTTACTAAGTAATGGTGATATACACATGAATAATTAAATACACTCAGACATCATCACCCTGCATCAGCAATCACCAGTCACATAAACAAACCTGTTGCAGAACTTGAAGTTGAGGGCTGGGATCACTGGCAAACAGATTCGTAATGGCAACCTTATAGACTTAATGCATGCAGAAGGCAACGGTATAAACACTTGCTTAATAAGGAGCTAAAATGACCCCACGTCCAAGAGACTAGGCCACACATTTAATTCTTGGTTCATGACTGCATTAATCTATGACTTTTACCATGAGGTGACTGTGCTCTGATGAGCAGCAATTACTCAAAATCACTCTTTCATTTTATATTTCAGAAAATAGAAAAAAATGGCGAACGTACATAATGGTGTAAATAGTAAAACACAAATAGGAATCCATTTTGGTCACAGCCAAAGTAACCATCTACAGTATTTACTGAATTCCATACCATCCCCAAGAATCCCAACTCAAATAAAGCCTAGAGGAAAACACACACTGCATTCCACTGTTGATCTGTAAAAAAGGAGTGGTGCAGAACAAGTGTCTCTGTCAACCTGGGTCAGTGATCAGCAAAGGTGTGCAAGTCTGATTAGACTCGGGCCAGGTTTGTTTTTTTTAGCTTGTGCAGATTTCCCTGGAGAGATGGTGCCATACCCCCAGCACTAACCCCTCCTCTCTTTACTCTATTCTTGCTCACCATGTCAGGAGCCCTAAAGCTGCACCCTGGCCTAACTTACGGAGCTTCCAAAAGCAGTACAGTATTTCATTCCATGTTCAGGCCTTGTGCGTGAGCTGGCAGTAGAAAATAGTGATTTACCACATTGCAATCCCCTCCCAATCTGTCTGTTTTTGACATTAAGAAACACTCTGCAATAGAAAGATTCGATTCTCTACTCTAATGTGAAAATCATGCTCTTGAATATAGTCTCAGTGAAAGGCAAACTGTGGACCCCTAACTTTGTGCTGCCTCTGCAGTTTTCTGGAGTGACTTCCATTGCTTATGGTAGACCATTACATGCTGAAGGAAATTGACTGCTTCTGAAAAGATAAGAAGTGCATTACAGAGCAGAATTAGTGAGTGGTCAGTGGAATAGGTTTAGAAGATGGTCAAGGCAAACATGAGTTAGGCTGGAAAGAAAACTACAGCTTAAATTACTTCAGATTAAATTACCTAAGAGCTTCTTTCCTGTTGAATAGGCTTGCTCTGTCTATATCCTGTTAGTAATTACTTTTTTCATTCACATTTAGAAGTTAGGGTGAAGTTGGAGGTGGAATAAGCAGTGCTCCTCATGGGGACTCCTCATTCAGCATCTTGTGTTTGATTCCAGTGTCATCTCCTCTGATGTCTGCCCTGTAGCTAGAGCAGTGCGCTTGGCATACATTTAGAGAATGCATAACATTCCAGAATCAGATCATATGTGTACAGAAATGACCGATTGCTTTTAGCAATTGTCATTCTGTGGTGCTGCAAAAGAGGTTCCCTCATATGATTGGTCCTGGAATGAATATATGTTCATTCATGACAGTGTATTGCTTTTTCCGCCTCTTAAACGAAACCTGACTTAGGTCTATAAGGGCTGGTTTCCCGGACGTGAGTCTACTGTTGGAGGAAATTGAAGTGCCAATGGTGAACCGCTATTGGACAATATTTTTAGTGTAGACTTACGATCTTGGAAACTGGCCCTAAGAGTTTTTTATCAGTTCCTTATCACAGGAAGTCTATACCATGAAAGTGAATTTCAGTCTGGATTTTGTGTTTCTGTGATGCGATTCCGATAATAAGGCTCTGTTCCTGTTTTCTGTAGGGATACTTGAATGGCCTTTCTGGACCAAGCTCGTGGTGGTGGCCATCGGCTTCACTGGCGGACTGGTGTTCATGTATGTACAATGCAAAGTCTACATTCAGCTGTGGAAGAGACTCAAGGCCTACAACAGAGTGATATATGTGCAAAACCGCCCAGAGACCTATAAAAAGATTGTTTTTGAGAAACCTGCATTTATGGAGCCAAACCTGGACAACAAAGAGGCTCTCGGGCTGGCGCAGTCGGACACAAACTCTTCCCAGTACACAGAGACAGAGGACTACAGCATGGAGATACTGCACGTGTGACCCACCCTGTCCACTATAATCCCTCCCATCCCCCCACCAACTTCCAGGGGACCAGAAGATGCTTTGCCTCCTCCAGGCCACCGGTGACGCCACACAGCACTGGACAGAGTGGCTGAGACGGAACTTCTGTTGTTTAGGTGTTACTTTCTCTTCGTTTGTCTGTTCTGTTCCTGTCAGTTGTTGGCTGACCATTATGAATCGGTGTGCGCCAGAAGCGACTACTGCCATTGTACTGCTGTCGTACGAGATGTGAAAACCGCCAGTCGAGCTGTGTGTGCGCATCTGCACTCGCCGTGTGTGTGTGAGTATGTGTCTCTGTGCCGGTTCTAATGGAGTCCTTAACAATGCATTTAAGCACTTTTTTAGTTCCCTGTTCTAAGGCTCCCCTGTTTTAATATCCATATATTTCTCTTTATACGTGTGGTATGAAAAGATATGAGGAAAAAATACAAGCTTGAAATTTTGAAAGCTTTTCTCACATTTTATATGATGATATGATAGATGACATTTGTATTCCCACACAACCTTCGGATGGAAAAAAGGAATTTGGAGGGAAATGGCCGTCTTTTTATTATCATCATTCCATATTTTCTGACTTCGGGCCGTATCAGATGAATGGGTTATTAACTTTTTGTTCTTCTTTCTTGTTTGTTTTATTTGACCTGTAATTTATTCTATGTGTGTTATTGAATCAAAGCAAATTTAATTGAGTTTATCTTCATCTTACTAAGGGCTAGATTCACTAAAGCCATTTGCACATGTTAAAAGTCTTAGCACTAGCAAATACATTAACATACTGTAACTTTTGACTGGGTCACATTGACCAGTCACTAGCTATGGTGCTGTTTTTGTACATGCTAAAAACTTTGCACAAGCTGAAGACTTTAGTAAATCAGCCCTTAAATGTACCCTCCGAGGGCTCTAGAATGTAGACTACTTTTTAAAAAAATACCATCTAGGACATTTTTGTGCAGAGAGGGGCATTTCTTGTAGCACCACTCAACTTGTTTTCTATGCTTGAATGACACTTTATATTCAGTCTTTATTTTGATCACCTTCCTTTAATGAAATATATCCTTGGGTGGAAAATGCAACTTATTTTTCTCACCCTAACCAGGCATTTATTACTTAAAGGTTTCATTTAGATTTTCTGCATATTTTGTATTCGAGCAAGACTCTCCTGTCCCATATTATAATTAAGATATGCTATCGCATGTGGCATAATGGCTTGACGTAACACACTTAAACGGCAGGTTTCAATTGTATCCTCGACTCATTTTGTCATTCTTTTTCATCATCCTTAGTTTATACATCGTTTTGTTTCTAAAGTTGATCCTGCAGCTGTTCAGATGTCAAAACCATCTTCAGAAAAGGTGTTAAATTTGTCAGCTTTGCAAATACATTGTGTTTACTTGTTTGTATGGTGGCAGAAAGGGTGGCAAATTTCCCAAGGCAGTGCTTTCTACTTCTACTCTTGAGGCTTTCAGTATGTTGTAAGGATATGATATATACTGTATGATGTAAAGGCTGAGAAATTGCCATGTCAGCTTAGCACCATTTCCGCATGTAGCAAATGTTTTTGACATAATATGGCGCATTTATCTCCCTAACAATATGATGATTTCAGAATGTGAAACAATGTGGGTTTACTTGAAATCAGAACTTGAAAGAATACTCCTGCCATCTAGTGACACTTGGCAGGTTATACCTTTGTAATAGATACTTTAATGTACCAAAACTGCTCTGTGCAATTTGACCAAGAGAAAAAGTGCAGATAAAGTTTGTTGATGGGATCGTACTTGCAGGCCTCCCTGTTTCTCTCCTTGTTTCACAAAGATTTCTTACTTTTGCTGTATTTAATAGCAGTGACCCAGCATAACCTCATAAAGAATTCCCATTTTTTGCAAATAACACTACATGTTCACAGATTTGATTTTGCACAGGTAGTAAAATTTGTACTTGCACCAAATGAGCTCCTCTTGTATAAGATAATGAGGTTGTGTTGGGCAGATGGGACCTTACCATTGACTTTCCTTGAGCTTTGCTACATGATGAATGCAGGAATGCCCTTTATAAAGCTTGCACACCCTAATGAGCTCGGTTTTACGTAAATGCAGCCTGGCGTCTTTTTTATGTTAGATTTTACTTCACAATTAACGATCAGTGTACTGATGGATTTTTGACGACATTACAGATGAATAGGAGCTGGCTCCTTTAACCTAACAGCAGCATGGGACCCCTAAGCATTGATGTGTAATCAACTTCAAACTGTGATACTTCATCATTATTTGGACAAAATAGGATTTGGAAAATTTCTACATTGTGACTCAGCTGCATATTTGGCCTTGTGGGGAATATCCTTCACTGAATTGCTGCACTGCGTCCTGTTTGTTCAGCTCTGATCTGTTTGAAAGCGCAGTAGCAGTATTGTTTGTCTTTTCATTGTAGTACCGTTCTCAAGGTTGCCTGTAGTTCTGGCGGTCATTTGGCTGATCACTCTTTAATTAACATACACCCGGACGATTCAGATGTGCTTAGAAAGTGTTTCTTGCATAAAACTGCAGTGCATTACTACTGAATCGACTTGAACATAGTCAACTTGACTGTTTTCTGCCCCTCCATCTTATTCCATTTTTTCTCTCTGTGAATTTTCTTTCAATAGTAAATGTAATTTTTGTAAAAACTGTTTTTAATGAACTATTGATGTGTTTTGATTTGTTTGATTACCCATATTTGAGCAAGCGTATATAGACTGAAAAACAACCAAATAAAATGAAGTAAACCTATACATTCTTGCAAATATGATGCTTGTTGTTTTTGCCAGACTCTGTGCTCCCGTTATATCAGCGGTGGTTGCGATACTGCCTAAAAGATTCAAACTGTCACCATCGTTTCCTGGAACATCCTTAAATTTCCTCAAGGCCGTTATATGTCAGCAAGGAAGGCCTTTCATGAACACTGTGTCAAAATAAGCGACGAAGCAGTGGAACTGAATGAGCATTTCACATTGTCGTGGCTTTCTCAGTAGCTAAATATGGTTTTGTGAAATTGAAAAGACTGTAATTTACATGTATAGTTTTGTATTTTATGTATCTTTATAATTTTCTCTCAGTATTATCACACTTTTAGGAGGTTGACTTTAAGTTTCTTAATTGAGATGTAAGTGACTATGTTGTGTCGTGTTTTTAAGGGGAGATGAAATGGAGCAATAAAATAAAACCTTAATCAAAAAAGTCGGTGTCCACTTGGGTTCCTCCAAAACCGCCAGAGCGTAACTGCAGCTGTCGCGTCCAAATTCTTCATGGCAATCTGAGACGTGACTGTTAGTAAGTGTGGAACAGCTGTGTAAGACTGCGATGCAGAAACGTCAGTTGTGCTGAGAATGTTTTCCAGAAAGACTATAAAATTATATGGTAAATACAAACTAGTGGTAAGAATGTACAGTCGTGTGCAAAAGTTTAGGCACCCCTGGTCAAATTACATTTTGTTGCATTTTGTTGATTTTCTAAGTGAAAATAAGTACACTTTAATGCACAATTACAGTTTATTTGCTGAATTTAACACAGAGAAAAAAAGCAAATGTTGTGTGCAAAATGTATGGCACATTTTACATTTTATGTTTTATTTTTTCCAGTATGTAGAAATTGTCCACTAAATTTAACAGAAAAAGGTCATATTTAAGGTCTTTGTAGAGCAGGGGTGTCCAATCCTATCCTTAAAGGGCCGGTGTGGCTGCAAGTTTTCATTCTAAATGAGCAGGAGCACACCTGATTCCACTTGTTTAATCATTTGTTCAGCCTTTAAACAACTGATCATGTGCAGTTCTGCTTTGTTGGAATGAAAACCTGCAGCCACACTGACCCTTTGTGGATAAGACTGGACATCACTTATATTGAAGATACGTTAACTTATTTTCACTTAGAGAATCAACAAAACATTGAATTTAAATGAAGATGTCAAGCTTTTGCATATAACTATGTTATTATATGGAATTTTAAAGTCAAAAACACTGCAGATGTGTTAAATGTATTTATTTATTTTATTTTTGTCTTGCCATGTGAACAATGCACATGACACACGATGTTTGCACATGATTGAGCTGAGCTGAATGAAATGTTTCTATGTTTGACACAAAAGTCATTTACATCTGTAGGGTATTTGTGTGTATAAACCTCTTTGCATACGAGTATGTGCTGAGCTCTGTGTGAAAGGAAGCTGGCTGTACTTCATAGTCACACTTAATGCCTAATTTACTCTGTACGACTGATGAATGTGATCACAGAGCAGGGCACACACACCGTGGGCCTGCGGTAAAGCTATGGGCAGCATTCCTGTGAAATGATGAGGTAGCAGTGCATTTGAAGGTTTTTGCTGAAGACACTGTCATCACAAAACCATTCTGACTCAGAGTCACTATGAAGGCATTGGCTAAGTGTCAGCATTAACAGAGGGGAAGTCAGTATAAACAGAGGCCTTGAAATGGCATTCTGAAAAGAATTGTACTGAAATAGAGAACATTTAGAGTATATCTGACAAAAATCTTTGTAGTGTTAGGAAAAAAAAAAAACGTACCAGAATAAAGATGAACCACTTTCAGATTAGACAAGCAGCCAACATTACAACTCCCAGAGCAACATTTGCTTCATTTATTTAACCTGCTTCTACCACTCAGTAGAAAACAAAGCGTGCCAGTTCACACCAGCATGCATCCATCATGAATCAATGCAAATCTCATTGTTTCTCTGCCGTGTTGCAACCTGTTCGCAGCATTACTAAGATAGCAGTGCTGGAGCTTTGCCCAGAATGTTTAAAAAGCATCTGAATCAGATGATGAAACCCACCAAGGGCATTTCATTTCAATTCTGTGCTTTCGAGATATACAGAGACACGTGGCTTTGATAGTTCTTTTCATTATTCTGACTACTGATATAACCATGATATAAATTCCAGAGTTCCAAAGGCCTAAAAAGAGAACTGCTTACAATGGCAGTCCTAAGGCCCTCATCATTTACATACAAAGATAATCTTTCAATCCAGAGGAAATCCTCATATGAAAGCTTACAAGATACCTTATGCAGCAAAATCTCCAAAATTAAATCACCACCTACAGCCTTGAGTTAACTCTCACAGTACGTTAGTGAAAGTACACTGTGAGAAATAAAGGTTCTGTGCAGGTACATTTTTCATTCATCAAGGTACAAACAATGTAAATGTTCCCTCGAAGGTACAACAGTGGTTTTAAGGTCCAATTGTGTACCTAAAATAAGTTTTTTGTTCCAGGTGAAAAGTACATATTTGTACCTTTTCATAACCTAATGTTTTAAAACAGAACAATAAAATAAAAAGCCTGGAGACGAGACGGGGTGTGTGGAGTCAATACAACTTAGAAAATAGAATTGCAATGGATTATGGTACAATTATGTTCCCTGACTAAAGGTAGTGAGATGTACCCTTGAGATCCCACCCCAGTGACAGTTTCATACCTTTAATTCTGAGAGTGTATGTGTACTGTGTCATAATCTTACTCAATTAAAAGTGGAAGCATGGAGCCAAAAATAAACCTAAGTCAATCCAAAACAGTAAATATTCAGCAAATGAATGAAAGGTTTTCTTTGTTTCAAGGTGTGTGATGTGGTGGAGTGTGGTGTGGTGACTAATTGTCAAACATCTGTACTCACACAAATATAAATTAGTATATTTGTGCACAGTTCATTTTTACTTTGATATCAGTTTGGTTGGAGGTTTTAATAAAAACAATAAATTCATAATAAAAGAAATAAAAATCTGCTGTCTATGTTGCAAGTATTTTGAAGGTCTGAAAATGTTTGGATTAAAGTAGGTTTTTCTCTTGGAAATGTAATTGAGTAAACGTATTCATTGACGTTGCATTATAGACTACTTTTAAGAATTTTCTTTTTTTCCATAAACATATGAGAAATATCAGTGCTATATTATTACTAATATCACTTTTATTAGATAAATTAAATTGTGTTTGTTCAGTGTACATCAGCTGCTCTCTCTCTCTCTCTCTCTCTCTCTCTATATATATATATACATATATATATCGCTGTTGTCAGAACAAAGCCTTGAATCTCCAAAAAGGAAACTTTACAGGAGAAGGAAAACACATACTTTACTTTTAATGTAAGTCAAGGGGACCAGACCTTTTTCCCCAAGTTCTGGGCTATTTCTTTTGGTCCATTCATCATGGTGTTTACAGACAATGTAAAGAGCAACAGGCATTTTCAAACTATATCAAAAACCGAAAAACAACAAAAATGGAGATACAAGGTTTTGTTCCAACATCAGTGGAACATATGTGTGTATGTGTGTGTGTGTGTGTGCGCGCATTTATTGCCTATTTTATCAGCTCCACTTACTATATAGGTGCACTTTGTAGTTCTACAATTACAGACTGTAGTCCATCTGTTTCTCTGCATACTTTGTTAGCCCCCTGTTACCCTGTTGTTTAACGGTCAGGCCCTCCATAGAGCAGGTATTATTTAGGTGGGGGATCATTCTCAGCACTGCAGTGACACTGATGTGGTGGTGGCGTGTTAGTTTGTGTTGTGCTGGCACGAGTGGATCAGACACAGCAGTGCTGCTGGATTTTTTAAACACTGTGTCCACTCACTGTCCACTCTATTAGACACACCTACCTTGTTGGTCCACCTTGTAGATGTAAAGTCAGAGACAAGAGTTCATGTGTTGCTGCACTGCAGTGCTGAGAATGGTCCACCACCCAAATAGTACCTGCTCTGTGGGGGTCTTGATCATTGATGAATGGGGTAAAAGTGGAATAACAAAGTATGCAGAGAAACAGATGGACTACAGTCTGTAATTGTAGAGCTAGAAAGTGCTCCTATATAGTAAGTGGAGCTGATAAAATGGACAGTGAGCGTAGAAACAAGGAGCCCAAGTCAAGTCAAATTTATTTGTATAGCGCTTTTTACAACTGATGTTGCCACAAAGCAGCTTCACAGAAATCCATTAAGGACAAAGTTTTAACATGAAATGTAAATCCTCCAGGTGAGCAAGTCAGTGGCGACAGTGGCAAGGAAAAACTCCCTCGGAGCTTGGGGAAGAAACCTTGGGAGGAACCAAGGCTCACAAGGGGGGACCCATCCTTCTCTGGTCAAACTACCTACAAAATTATTATACTACTAATATTAATAGTAGTAGTAGTAAGTAGTAGTAGGTGTTCCTAATAAATAATAATATATATTTGCACCTCCACAATTCTTTTTAACATAAATCAATGCAAGGCATCCAGGGCACCAATATCATCAGATAGCGCAAAACTAAAATGTGTCTTAGCAGCATCATGACAATCAACATGATTAAGCATCAAAACTGGGACAGTCAGAAGCAGAAAAATCAAAGCATGTGGCCCTGTTTATGTCTGGATCCCAATTTGGAGAACAGATTTGGATCTCTGATACACAGGGCAGGAACAGAAGGAGGGGATGAATGTTGATAGTCTTTTGGCATCTCACTGACTGCTTGATCAGAAGAGAATGTGACAGAACACCAGTTCCTCCAGGGAGTCTTCCTAAGGCAAACGTCTACATGAACAAAATGGCACGAAACCACGTCATCAGATACAGCAGAAAAGCACTCATAGCTTATCTACCACATTCAAGTTCACTAACTTGTAGTTATAAGAGTGAACGGAAAGTGACTCATAAACAGAAATTATATGAACAGAGCAAAGGTGAGGGAAGGTGCCACCATGAAAGGCATAACTGCCCCAAACAAATAGTCATTAAAAGTTAAACTAATGCACATTCAAGCATTTATCCAGATAAAAGGAAAACAAGCATCAAACAGGCCGATATTACTTCGAAAATCTGGTCAAACCTGTTACTTCTGTGGATAATTTCATTAATTCAGGATGGCAGCCAGAAAGGACGTCATAAGATGCTTCCGTAGCAGCCATTCTCTCATGTAGTGGATCATAAAACCATTTAGTGCCAACTCAGGAGTACAGCGGAAGGTAATAATACAGGCAAAGTACATTAGAATCATAGTAATAAGACTAGGATAACAGCATTCTTTTCAGACTAAAATTCATGTGCAACATATATCTCAGAAAGTAGCCTTTGACACTACATGGCTGATAACTGCCACATTACTAGTGAAAATCTGTCCTTGCTGAACTACTCAGATTAAACATAGTCGATCCATTGTTGACAATATGATAAAACATTTGCATGGTCAGACGAGCAAGGGAGGCCAACCACATCAGCCACAAGAGAACAAGAAGACTTGATGTTAAGTCTAACTGTCACATAGTGACCTCCAGTGGCGAAGTAGAGGACAGAGGACGGAATAAACAACCCTTGACATGATGCAGCCTGAAACACCTGCAACTACTGTAATGCACACAGGAATACATGAGTGACTTCTGTATAGTAGATCAGTCAAACTAAAACATAACGATTATAATGGCAGGGCTCACTTCTTCTTGAAGAGTAGCTCTTGTGTACATGCATCTCTCTCTCTCTCTCTCTCTCTCTCTCTCTCTCTCTCTCTCTCTCTCTCTCTCTCTCATATAGTCATATGCAGAAGTTCGAACATTTTACGTTTTATTGACTATCAACATAAAATTCTACAGAGAACAAACATAAAAAATGTGCCGAAATGTGCAGAACCTCTGCATTCTATGTAAGTGCATGCATATACATTAAAAAAAAATAGGAATAAAATAAAAATGATTGTATTTTATTGTATTTTGTATTATTATTATTTTGTATTATTGTAAATTGTATTCTACAATAATACAAAAAAATTTATTATTGTAGTTATAAAAATTCGTGAAATACATAAAATGCATTTTCTTTTTTTTTGCATTGAGACTTTTACATTGAAATTTACGGGCCAGTTTACGTTAATAAATGCTGCGGTTGCAGTTCCTTCACGCCTCTCTGTTTGTAAAAAAAAAAGCTCACAAAATATTTGAATGCGTAAACGGACGTGAATAAATTCGTATACATGCAAATAAATGACTGTAGTGAAATGTTGGAATAATTAAGGCGAAATGTGCTGACTGGGCTCCGTGGTGTGCGCGGTATTATCTTTCCTAGCAGGCGCCGCTGCGCTGGCTGCCCTGCAGGGTCCTGCGGCTCTAAAGGGTCGGAGCTCACTGCAGTTCAGTCTCCTTCAGTTCGCCCTCCAGCCGGTGCGCTTCACTGTAGCCAGTCAGCCTCGGGGAGAAGTTGATAAAACTTACTTAAGTTGATCGCTAGTCCAATCTATTAACAGGTAAGACGTGACCACGAAGTAACGTTCCATATATGTTAGCCTGCTCGTTTTCGCGCTTTGCGCAGGCTCGTTTTTTACACTTGCCGCTTTGCTAGCACGTCGTTGGCTCTCGGAAGCTAACGCTAGCCGGTTGGCTAGGCTAGCTGAATGACAGTTAGAGGGTTGGCGTGGCCTGTTCATCACGCAAATTATGTAATAAAAGTTTCACATGTTGCTGTGAAACTAATACAGGTTAAACCCGTCAGAACTCGTGTAGCGAGTTAAATATATTGGTCAGACGAGAGCGATACAGCCCATGGCTTTAGCTACGGCGTGACCGGCGTGCTAGCTAATGTTAACAGCACAGAGTAAATCAGTGAACCCACCCAGCTGAACGTACAGTGCTGACCGCTGGTTTCAGCAGCTGCACAGGAGACGTGGCCTGGTGACACAAGCAAATTTACTTGCTTAATTTTGTAACCGAATTCCTGTTAGATCTGCACTGAGTGAAGTTTCGTTTTCTGCCTAGCTTACATAGCTATAGGCTCGCTAGCTGACTGGTAAAACGCCCTTTCCAGAAGTTGACGTGCAAGAAGCCGCCTGTGTCTTAGACTCCGTTCAAAACAGCAAACTGCCACACTAAACAGTATGACAAAAATAGTACACCACCAATAGAAGTCCATTCATTAGTGTAGTATGTGGTTTTGGACGCAGCTTTCGAGATCTTTAACGTTAAAAGTCTGGTACTTTTAACGTTATGTTCCAGTGTTGAGCTTTAGTCTTGTCAGGTCTAGTTTGTCCGTTTGAACGTCCATTGTTTTTGTCCACAGGAGCTGTCTGGAGCTGTCTGACCGATATGGCTTCCAGTTTTAACCTTGTCAGTAGTTTGTACCTGTTACTTGGTTTATGTACTTTTTAATTTTGTTTTAAAGCTCTTTGTGGTTTGAGCTAGTAACCTGATCATAAGAGCATTTATGAAGCGGGGTGAGGAACCCTGAGTATCAGCTTAGCTCAGAAAATACTTCTTAGTTGATGAGTGAAGCAAAGTGTTAAACCCAGGTAACTGTGATTTATTACTTCCTGAAATAGAAGGTGTGGACTAACTAGTCATGTTTGAAAGACTTGGAATTTCTCAGATATGTCATGCCGGTACTGAGCTTAAAATATAAGCACAGGTGGGCAGCATTTGATGCATTTGTAGTTCAGCAAAACTAATGACTTAACAATTCTTTTCCTGTACCTCTCCTGCATTAGATAACCTGACCATAAGATTCTTAATGCCGTCTTTCGTGTGGTGATTTCTAAAGACTAGATCCTGTATGCACTCCTAAGATGCATAGATCTGGATTTCCCGATGTATTAGATTATCATGCAGTGCGTCAGTGCACGGAAGCCTATTTGTGTGTGGTCATTTCCTCCTTGCAGTGACTCAGAAAGGTGGGGCCTACTGTCATGTCAGATTAGCTTGGCCGTCTGTGTGAAACACACAGGGCCAGTTATCAGACTGCTAACACTGCGTCTATGAGACAAATTATGGCAAACTGGAGCTAGAACTCTATATTCAGCCACACCCTTTTTCATATGACATTTAAAGGAATTTTGCACATAGGCAGATTGCCACTTTGTGTTGTTGGGTTGTCTGCTTCATGGTTAGGCTAGATTTACTCTGAAATCCTATAGATTTTCCTGACCATTTTCTACTTTTGCAGATAGAATGGCAGTCCCCCCATGCTATGCTGATCTTGGAAAATCCGCCAAGGACATTTTCAACAAGGGATATGGTATTGTGGCTGTCTTTTAAAGAAATATGAAGAAGTATTTCTGATTGTAAAGTGTTGTTTCTGTGGATGGTTCTTTTGTTGTGATTAGTTCACTGCTTTGTTTTCTGAAAGGCTTTGGTCTGGTGAAGCTTGATGTGAAGACAAAATCGGCCAGTGGAGTGGTAAGTGCTCCATGACCAGCAGTTTGATGGCTCGAACCAGTGAAGGGAACGGCATTTTTTATTAAACAACTACAAATCGCTACTGTTAGAATAAAACATTGTATTTCCGAAATGGTAACATTACAAGGGCAGGAGAAATATGTTTAAAATCTTATGTAAATTAATGGAGAATTGTCTTCCAAGTAATTTTAGGGCATCTCCATTCATCATGAAATTTTGATGCAACGTGCAGCTCATCTGGCAGTTCCAAATCATGCTAAATTATGTAAAACAACAAAAATGGAGATACAAAGTTTTGTCCAGACAGTGACAGTATGCACAGCTGTAGTGTTGAATTCCTGTACAGTGTGAAGTAGTGATGTGAAATCACTCTGTCTTGTCCCTCGGCAGGAGTTCAAGACTTCTGGGTCCTCTAATACTGACACCAGCAAAGTGGTGGGCAGTCTGGAAACCAAATACAAGAGGTCTGAGTATGGCCTGACCTTTACAGAGAAGTGGAACACTGACAACACCCTGGGTACAGAGATCACCATTGAAGATCAGGTGTGGCTGCAGAGACAGAGTGGAGTAAGATTTTATGAAGCAGTTTTTTTTTATTGTACTTAATGCTATTTGTTCTCACTTTTTGTAGATTGCGAAGGGGCTGAAGTTGACTTTTGATACCACCTTCTCGCCAAACACAGGGTAAGTTATTTTTTCAAGATTTTCTCAAGCTGTTTGTGAAATTGTAGTTGGCTGAACAGAATATAAGGCTGAGTATGACGGGAGTGCAAAAGGTTTAACAGCAACTCGACGAGGTCTTGAAGCCTCAACACGTGTGTCTTGTTTAAGGAACATTTGTTGCTGGCTGGCAGGGCTCAGCAACAGCTGTAACCTGATATCTTATTGAGTAAGTCTGTGTTGTGTTTTGAAAGAAACATAGTACTGTATTTTTTTTAAAATTTTTTTTATTTTCTTTAAATTTTTTATGGGTGTCTGGCACATGTGGTCTGATGTAACAGAACTGTCACAGTTTTCTGGGGGGGCATAAATCATGTCAGAATGCTGAATGTCTAGTGATTCGGTGTGCGTTCTCATATGACCACACATTGACGTTGCATTCTCTAAAGTACAGCAGTGTGTTGGGGCCTGATGGTTTCATAACAGTGGTAAAAGGACATAGTGAATGACACTGCTTGCCATTGCAGCAGTAATTTTAAAGACCTAGTGGCTTCTATTCTGCACCGTTTTAACCAGACTTGTTGAAAAGGTATTTATTTACGCTTGCCTTTGGTATTTCAGTAGATGCCTTTTTGTTTTTTCCACTCCAAAGCCCTTGTGTGTTGTGATAAGAACTGTCTTGGTTTGTGAAAGAAGATGGAATTAATATGTAATGTGAAATTCAAAGGCAGCATTTTATGATGTTCTGAATATTTTTAAACAGTGGTCAGTGAATGTGGCCTATTTAAAGAACAGGTTTTATGCAGACCACAGCCAATTGTAAGGCCTGATTTATGGTACCAGCTGAGAGAGATTAATTATTCCTTCTAGCAGCAAAGTCAAGCATTTTACTTGGACTTGGCTTTAGTTCTACCAAGCATTTAAATAATATGGCCAGAGTTGTATTATACCAGGAGTTTTTGAGTTCACTACAGCGCTGAAATTGTAATATGGTTGGTCTTCTTTTTAACCTACACTGTTCATATTTTAACAGCTCTTTTGTTATAATAGATTGTCGCAGTAAGCCTGTAACTATGATAACTGTGCTTATTTTTTCAGTGCATTTATGAACTTTATTGGTAGATAATTACTTACAAATGATCAGCATTGAACACATGCTGATGGATGCTGTTTGATGAAGTGTTTTATTGTACTCAGGAAGAGCAGATTGTTTAGGAGACACTGGGCAGCTGTGCTGTAGCACTGCATTTTATTTATTTGACTGCGTTTGTAAGCTAGTAGAAATAAACGTTATGTTTCTCCACAATGCTAATACAGTTTCTACATTTTCAATTTCTGTATTTTTATATTGTTTATGTATTGGCATCTGCAGCTACGCACATGAAGAATGTTGTATATCTGCATCGGCCCACAGTTCTCATGTCTGTGCTTCTCTAGTTGGTCATCATAAGTGAACTGACAGCTGTGATTTATTAACTTCATAGAATATTATCATCTAACATTGGATGCTGATTTTCAACAGCAAGAAGAGTGGGAAAGTCAAGACTGCCTACAAACGCGAGTATGTCAACTTGGGCTGCGATGTTGACTTTGACTTTGCTGGCCCAACTATCCATGGTGCCGCAGTGGTCGGTTATGAGGGATGGCTTGCGGGATACCAGATGTCCTTTGACACAGCCAAGTCAAAGATGACTCAGAACAACTTTGCTGTAGGCTACAAGACAGGTGACTTCCAGCTGCACACCAACGTGTAAGTACAGATCCACATCGCTCATAAAGTGCCACTTGATTGAAATATTGTGGCCCTGTAATGAGAACTGAAATGTAGTGTAAAATAGTGAGCAAAAAAATTGTGAAAATAGCTTTCATTACAGTGCACAATGGTTTGTACATGTAGTTAGTAAATTAGTATTCAGTTTGTTACTGTTCAATAATTTTGTCATGGACACTTATGATGTTGTGATACTGATAGAATTTCTCAATTTCTGCTGCTCTCTGCAGTAATGATGGCTCAGAGTTTGGTGGTTCCATCTACCAGAAAGTGAGCGATAAGTTGGAGACAGCAGTGAACCTGGCTTGGACTGCAGGCAGCAACAGCACACGCTTCGGCATCGCTGCCAAGTACCAACTGGACAAGGATGCCTCCATCAGCGTGAGTGCTTTACTCTTCAGTCAGAATGTTACTGATGGCAGCAGCCGTTGTAGTGTGATTAATAAGGTGTAATCCACAGCTGGTGATAACATTTGTTTTTATGACTGCTCACAAAATGACTGCCAAATTCTGAAGTGGAAAATCGAAATTGGATTCGGATTGGTTTCACATCATTGATCTTAGAGTGGAGTTTCTGCTGTTTTTACTTCAAGCTGACAAAGAATTAACTGAACTTAACTGAAGACTTGATGACTTTAATCTTTCTGTAATAGTCTGTCTATAAATATCATTGCCTTTTTTTTAACTACTACAGTGTTTTACTTCACTGTTTTCAATACTTTTGAATGAAAGATCTAGAAAATTTTCAGCTGCAGACTTTGACAGTCTTTTGAACAGTTTTGCTCTTGTGATCTTTGTATTCCATTTTAAACAGCATTTCTGAATAATGCAAATGTTTCTTGAAAGTACCAAGTATTCTTCAACATGTCAGCTAAGTCGTGGTTTTCAAGCCTTTAAGTTTTCTAATAAGCTTGCTAGAGAATGGCTAAATGAATTCTAGCTGGGATTTGTCTCAGATAACCTGTCTAGGTAGGTGAATTTGCTGCAGGAGGCTCAGAAGAAATATGGTTACTTTTTATGCCTTTTAAGCTTTTGTTTTTAGATGCAACTTGTCTAGACTGCTTGCTGACCTGTGGCAAAATCCCTTGACCAGTTTTGTCCTTTCAGTATGGTTGGAGTAAAGTAGTAGCTGTGTAATGTTTTTATAGCTTTCCTTTCTCTAATTTCTGAACTTGTGGGAAATGCTCAGGCTGGTTTAGTTTTAAACTCTTAATTTCACTTTCCTTGCAGGCCAAAGTGAACAATACTAGTCTTGTTGGTGTTGGATACACACAGACCCTGAGACCAGGTATGATCCCGATCAGCTACATTTTTGCATTCGATTTGCATATGATTTTTTATTTGAGTATAGCAAAACTTGCAGGGAATACTCAGTGAATGTTAAAATAACTTGCGTAAATGCAATTTAGGGCTCCTCAAACTTTTTGCTGCTTAAGTTTGACGGTGCTGCAATTGTTTTGTGCAGGTGTGAAGCTGACTCTGTCTGCCCTGGTTGATGGAAAGAGCATCAACGCTGGTGGCCACAAGCTGGGTCTGGGGCTGGAGCTGGAAGCCTAAAGCCCAGCTCGTGCTCATGTCAGGGACGAGGGAATATCAGAGGAATCTGGCCTTAAATCTTTCTCCAACTTAACCAGCAGGGGAATTCTGGATGGAATGGGATATGTTCAAAGGCTACAACAAAAGCAATCATTTTAGTATCCATTGCAGTGGTGTTTATTTTTCCCCTTCCTGGTCATGGTGCCCATTTTTGGTTTGTAGATGTTCATTTCCTCATCTGAATCCAGCACTGCCATGGCAATGAAATACTCCAATTGCATCAGTGGGCATCTGAGCCCACATTACCTGTTCAGCAAGACGTTGGTGATCTGGGGGAATGTGACAAACTACATTTCCAATTTCACTGTTGCTATCATCTGATATTCCTTAGTCGTCTGAACACAGCTTGTGCAAACGCTTAACTCAATTTTAAAGGTTATACCTTCTATTATTTAAACACCGTTACATGTTTTGTTTTGTTTTTTCCCTCTTCTCTTTTCCATACACACAAGGACATACTTAAACTGTGTTGTACCATTTTTGCTTTGTCAGCCATCGGGATTGAAACATAGTTGTACTTGAAGCCTGCCCTTAAACTAAGCAGTTTTTGGGTGGCCTAATTGGGTTACTGTCTGAAAGTAATGGAGCTTGAAATAGGAAAGCATGGCTGACTTTTTGTTTTCTGCACAGACGACTAGGTGAAGCTTGTGGTAATGCCAAATTGGGTACTCTGGATGTGATTTGAGTTTAGTACCTGAAGCGTTCAGTGTCACCTTCATGACCCTGACTTGCTGAAGTTGTGCTTTCACAAAACCTTAGAGGTCCTTATGTGTATGTGTAAACTTTTCAATAAAGTCTTTGAACTCCACTGAGGGTTTCGTTTTGACTGGCATGATGTTAATGGTAAACAGTTTATGAATGAGCTAATCTATTCGGTTGGAGTACAAGCTTTACTCCTTCTGTCGTCAAAATAAACAGTCTTGCTGTTTAAAGTAGAGATGGCACCCATCCAATACCTAGTATCAGTATCTGGCTAATAGCTGCCATTTGATTTTGGGGGGGAAAAAAGTAACAAATTCTAGTATAACTTGGTTATAACAAATTAATTACTCTTTGAAATTTAGGTATGAAATTAGAATTACAAATAACTAAATAGCCTAGTTTTGAACAAATATGTGCGGTTTGCGATTTTGTAATGTTGCTGTGTATTTCTTGTTGAGCTGTTTGAGCATTGGTATCAGAAAACAATGAAACTATCTCCAAAGTTAGTACTCTAAGATTATGTGGAAAATATTTTTATATTTAAATCACTCTCTGCATTAATATCAAATGGATGTGTAACACAATGTTAATTTGATTTGTTGACCATTGGTCAAGGTTTAAGTAAAGAGGTTGACTGTACACACATCAATTGCTGGTTAGTTGATGGTAATTCAACTAATACTTCTAAGCTTTCCAATGTATATTGTAAGCATTTCTCTGTTGAACGTAAGTCTTCTCATTTTTAAATAGCTGTATAGGATGTTAGTGTTCTGCTGTGTACAACCAAATGAAATTTACAAAGAGTAGTAGTTTCGCTGCACCACATGGAGTGACTTGAGAGGAAAAGAGAACAAAATTCATATGCTTAAATAATATTTATTCAGACAATAAATAGCATTAATATACACTTTTATCTATCCAGTGCTAGCTGTATAGCAAAATATTTCATTTAATCATATACATTCTACATTCCATTTTATTATTTTTACATTCATCAGATTTCATGCATACAGCAAAAGCAGCCACGATCAGAGCTCTTAAGTTGAATTTAATCACAGCACTTGTTTGTTTTAATCAGCTGTTAACTCTAGTCATGCAGTTTCTAAAGCATTTATATCACATTCATTCTTGATCATTCTCAGTTCCAGTCTGAGTCTCTAGACAGACAAGTCTACGTCTCTTACATAGATACTCCATTCTCGGCTACTTTTGGCACTTGTTTTTTCTGCTCTGCGTCTTCCTTCACATCAGTGATGGCAGATTTCTGTTCTTTGTCTTGCTCTTTCTTTGATGACATTTTTAGAGCCGGCTCTATGCTTTGATCAGGTTTTGGGGGAGCGGTGTCTTTTTCAGGAGCTGTAATTTTTGTGCTGTCCACTTTTGGGATCTCTTCCTGTGTCGCACTGCTGCCTGTCTTGTCTGATTTCTCAGTTTTTGAGTCCTTGGCTTCTTTTATGTCTTTATCCGTTTTTGTCTGGTCTTTTTGTTCTTTTTCCACTGATGTCTCTGAAACACTTTGTTCGAGTTGTACATCTTTGGAGGTTTCTTGACCTGTAGGCTTGATGATGTCCACCTTTTTAATGTCCTCGGAACTCTCCAGTTTGCTCTCTTTGGTTTCTTTTTTCTCAGGTTTTTCTTCAGGTTTTGTTTCCTTTTCTGCAGGTTTTGAGGGTTCATCTTTCTGAATGACTTCTGACTGTTTTTCAGTGGATTTGGTTGTTTCACTTTGCTCTGTTTTAAAAGTGTCTGCCACCTTTTCTTTAGTGGCATTTGCATTTTGCGGAGACGGCCCCTCGGATTTTGTCTCTGCTGTTGCAACTTTTGGCTGCTCTTTTTCTTCTTTCTTTGATTTGGCATCATCCACTTTGTCTATATTCGCCTTGCCTATCATGTCCTTTGTGCTGCTCTCCTTTTTCTCGGATATCTCAACTTCTGTTTCATTTGCAGCAGATTTGGAAGCATCACCCTGTGTTTTTTGTCCCTCGGTTGACTTGGCACTTTCTCCCTTTTCTGGCTTCACAGTCTCTGTACCACCAGCTGGTTTGCTCTCTACTTTTTTCTCTGAATGCTGGTCAGGTTTTGTTTCCTTGTCTTTATCTTTTGGCACTGTTTCTTCCTTTACTCCCTCAGTCTGTTTGGTTGCATCTAGATCTTTTTGTACATCCTCCACATCCTTATCCTTTGTACTTTGTGCTTTTTGAGCATCGTCTACATCAGCTTTTGAGGTTTCTACTGTGTCCTTTGATTCTGCTTTGCTCTCCTCTTTTGGAGCAGTCTCCTGTTCTGCCTCAGCTTTTTGAGATGCTGGCTGTGGGTCAACAGTGGACGCATCAGCCTCTACGGATTTCACTTCACTGGTTTCCATGTTTTTCTCTGCTGATTTTGCTGAAGTGATATTTTGAGGCTCGGCTGTAGTTGTCATCTCTTCTGTCACCTTTTTGTCTTCAGGTTTTGGAGAGATTTTCTCTGTGGCCTTTTCTTTTGGCTCGGGATCTTTAAGTGGTGGCAAATGTGGACCATTTGACTTCTCCTTTGGCTCCGTTAGAACCTCTTGAGTAGCTTTTTGCTCCATTGGCTTTGGTTGTTCTATACTGTTTTTCTCTACGTCTTTTGCTGGCTCTTTCTGTTTGTCAGTATCAAGGGGCATCTTCTCGTCACTGGCTGTATCTGCTTGTGGCTTCTCTGGTTTTATTTCTGCATCAGCCTCCTGTGGTTTGGACTCTGCGTCAGCATCTTTAGTTTCGGCTTTATCCTCAGCTTTTTCTTCAGGGAGTTCTGGTGCAAGGCCTTCATGCTGTGTTGGTTCAGTGTCAATGTCAGCTTCATCGTGAGCCACAGAATCATCCACAGACACCTTTGGTGTGTCGTCTTCTTTTTCAGCTGGCTCTTCTTTATTTTCCTCTTCCACCTGTTTGGGGCTGCCTCCATCATCATCTGTGGCCTCTTTCTCCTCTGACTGGACCTCATTTTGTGCTGCCTTACCTGCATCCTCTTCTTCGGTGCTCACCTTCTCTGATTTATCGCCCTCTCCCACCCCACTGCCGTCCTCAGACCCTGTGTCTGATATCTCTACATCCTCCCTGGTGGTCTCTGTAATGATCTCCTCAACAAACTTGTACTGTGGCTCTGCTTTCCGAGGCGCTTCCCCCTGCCTTGTGACACAAGGGAGAGTATAGATGGGCGACTGCCTATAAACATAAGGTACTGAAACATGTGCATCAGAGAGAGTGGAGTACCTCGACTCTTCGCCCTCCAACAGCTTTCTGTTGGTAAAAAAGCATAAACGTGGTAGATATGTTAACTCTTACAGAATTTTAATTCTTGAACATATTTTAATTCCTTTTCTCATTAATTTTATAGGTTGTAAGGGGATTTATTTTTAGTGAGACTCCTGATGACATTCTAATTGTGACTTTTACCTGTATGAATAGATTTCACTGTCCAAGGCCATTTTCACATTGAGCAGATCCTGGTACTCCTGCACATGGCTGCTCATGTCATATCTGGTGTTTTTCAGCTCGTGTTCCAACTCTCTGATGGTGTCCTGTGAATAAGCATGAAAAACCCTATTAAGACACTGAGTGCATTAATGTATAGCCAAATCACAAAGAACACACTTAGTTACTTAGTGAATGTCCAGATGTTTATGAAGAATAACTATTCTGGCAGTTCATTAAGATGTTTTCTCTGTCATTACTTTCAGAGCTGATCTGATTTCTGAGCTTTTTGAAAGTTCTGTTGTACAGGCCACCATTCAGCCGGCAGTGAAGTGACAGTTTTCAGCTTTGGGTTTTTATGCTTAAAACCTGAAAACTCCAGCACAAAAATGGTTGCTGAGTGAAAAGCCATGTCTGTTTAGACTTAGTTTATGAAAAATAACACTCCTGGAAACCATGCATTAATAATTTTTGTAATATTACCCTGTGGGCTGATCCAGTTTCTTGGCCTTTTGAAAGTTCTGTTTGTACAGACCGTCATGTGTCCTGCAACTTTGTGCTGCTGCACTTACAACCATAACAATCTGAACGCATGGCTACTGAGAGAATGACCAGACCTCCTTTGGTTTAGTTTATGAAGGACAAAACGCTTGGAAACCATGCATTAAGATGAACTACGTTAAGATTTTATGAAAATAATGCAGGATTCCTGTGCATATGGTGAGTGCGGCAGTGCAGACCATCACTTATCCTGCAGTGAAGGTGGAAACAGACCTGATAGTGGTGGATCTCAGCTTTGTGCCGCTGCTCCAGGTCGTACAGCTGCCTCTCCAGCGCTTCTCTCGTCCCCTTCACGGAGTCGAGCTCCACGTTTCTGGACTGCAGCTGCCTCCTGTAGTCGCCGATCTCGGCCTTGGTGGCCATGAGGGTCTCTCTGTTGATCTCGGCGGCTCTGGTCAGCTGGGCCACGTGGGCTCGGAAGCGCTCGTCCGCGGGCTGGATGTCACACACTGCGGCGTGACCTTCAAGCTGCAGCCTGATGTCCCTGAGCGCCGCCGTGATGTCTCCTCTGCCGAAGCCGCACACGTCCTGCCTCACCTGGCTCTCCTGGATCTGGGCCACGATCTCCGCCACCTCGGCTTCGTGGTTCTTCTTGAGGAAGCCGATTTCATCCGCCAGCGCGCTCGCCTTCCTGTCCAACTCCTGCTTGGCTACGTGCGCCTCGCTGATGAACTTCTTGAGCGCGCGCACGCTCTCCTCAGCCTCGGCTCTCTCACGCGCCTCCTGCTCGCACTTCTCCCTCAGCGAGTTAAACTCGTCCTGCAGACTCTGCAGGCTCAGCCCGACCTGGTGCTTCTGGACGGTCATTTCGCGCAACTGCTCCCTCAGTTCCTTCATCTCCGGGTCATACTCCTTGGAGAGAGCGGCGGAGGACTGGGCTTTAAGCCGTATGGCTTCTATCTCCTGCTCCAGCGCTCTGTTCTGGTTCTCCAGGTGACGAACCTTCTCGATAAACGCGGCGAAACGGTCGTTTAGGCCGCGAAGTAACTCTTTTTCATTCGTCACTTTTACGGGGATTATTTCGCCCGAGAGCTGGTAGGGGAAGTCATAGAGGTCGCCGGCTTTGGGAGCTGCTCCATATTCTCCTCTCAGGGCTCCGTTAGCTCGGCTCCGCGCCGTTGCTAATCCGGCGCTAACGCTAATAGCGCTGGCCCGTGATGGACGCGCTTGCAGCGGGTAGCGCTGCTCTTCCCGCCTCCTGCCAGGTGACTTTAGCAGACGCTCCATTGTGAGACTGCTGGCTGACCCTCCTGCCCCTCAGGTTTTTATATACCGCGCTGGATGCTTGGCTTGCAGAACGAACCTGTCTGTAAAACCTCAGCATCAGCTGCTCTGCTGCAGCAGCTCGGTGCCCAACAGCCGCGACGTCACGAGAACCCCGATCCCCAACACACACAGTTCCGTAGGGTGAAGTAACATTACAGACAAAATATCAGATCAGTATATCAAAAATCACTGCATTTCTCTCATGTACTGTTAGCTTCATTTAATCGAGTGTGTATGTAGATTTCTGTGCTGAAATACGTTGCGTTTTGTTTGCCCACGGTGTGCTGCGTCTACCCCCTCGTCTCTTACAGTGGCTTCCAGTTTGAGTGGGACAGCTTGGGTACAAAAGGACGCTGCTTCCGCATTTAAAATGCATTAGACTTCCAATTGCCCGTTTTCAAATGTTGATAAAAATATTACTATAGCCTGTGTATTACTATTTATTAATCTTTTAATCCACTGTCAAAGCATGCTCATAGGCGTCTCAAATAGCAAGCAATTATATATTGCTTGAACTACAAAGTACAACATTGACATTTCAGAATATGACTTTTTATGCCCTCATACCTACCATTAGCTTTTTGGATGCTCTTGGTTAAAAAGAAAACGCAGCCAGACCTACAATGATGTCCCATCAATCAAAAACGTGTTCAGTACACATACACATTCAGGAACACCTAATTAACAAAACATACTGACCCCAAGCTTAAGTGTCCCACTTGATGACCAAGTTGCTGTCGGAACAAAACCTCATATCTCCACTTTTGTCGTTTTTCAGTTTTTGACATAATTTGAAAGTTGTCCTATACATTGTGTGTAAATTTCATGATGAATGGACCAACAGAAATGACCAAAAATTACTTGGAAAAAAGTCTGGTTCCATTGACTTACATATGCAAAACTCACAGTTCAGCAACTTTTTCAAGGTTTCAGATATGAATTATATGCTTATTTTGACTGCAGGCTTTGGAGCAAAAAACTGCATTAAGTGGAATAGCGATAAAATGCTTTGTGGGTTTCTTGTCATTATAAACTGCAGAATCTACAGTAATAACAAAAAGCATGTTTATTGATTAATTTGTGAGGATAAAGATAGCCTTGCCTTGTACTGATGTATAGTAGACCTATGTCAGGCTTTTGCTGTGTCCCATTGGGCTACATATGCATTCCAGTGAGTTTTGTCTTGCAGTACAGCATTCTTTAAATTGTATTTTTCTATATGTTTGTACAGCAGAAAGGGACTGGACACGTCTGCTCTTGGTCATGCTGAACAGAATGAGAAATCGATCCAAACCCAGCATTCACACCACCACCTCACAATAAGACTTCTGGAAAACATGAGATCCACACAAGGTCTGCACAGAGGATTTCATATAAAGTATTTATTTCTAGTGCAAATAAAGACATGGTATTTTTTCAGAATGTGTTTACATAGTTGAACAATTATGATTACATAGGACAGTTAATATGTTCTTTAATATGGTTACGATTTTTTCTGTAAGTGAAAGACTGAACATAATACAGTTAGTTTTTAATGAAATGCAAGAAAAAAACAATGAAATTACACATTTTAAAATACAATAGGCTGTATCTTAGTAATATACTACAGGTCCAGAGTTTCCCAATCTTGGTCCTGGAAAATATAATAATTAAAATGTCCTATGGCAGTGCACTGCACATTTTAGTACTAAGACACCTGATTTGATGAGTCAGGTAATGAAAGCCCATCATGAAGTTAGAATGGGTGTGTCAGAGCAGGGAAACCACAAAAATTTGCAGTGCACTGCCATAGGACATTTTAATCATCGTATTTTCTGGGTATGTCTGATCCAAGATGTTAGGCTTTTGGTAGTTGGAATCATTGGCTGCAGAATAATGTTCAGTAATAAAAATACAAAGTAAAGAATACAAAGTAACAGCTAAAGCATAGTCTTTTGCAGACTTATAGGCAGTCTACTCCTCAGTACCAACAATATTTCCTCTCCTTAAAGAATTCATGAACTCTCGAATCTGGTACACATCATTTCGGTTATTGCGAAGGACTTTGTAGAGTCTGTTTTTACAGTTCCTCCATTCGGTGGATATGTTTTGCAGTGCCATGCCCTCTTTATAATGCTTGACTGCCGTTGCCTCTGAGCCCAGGCGGTACAGGTTGAAGTCTCCATACAGGCGATGCCAGGCCTGGAGGTCAGCTGGCTTCAGGTTTGGGCGGGCAAACAGCTCCTGAAATTTCTGCTCTGCTTTACCACAGTTCTTAAGCTCGGAATACCTAAGCGCTAACTCCATCTGCGGGTAGAGGAAATCTGGATTTAAGCGGGCGCCCTCTTCTAAATGGTGGACGCAGAGGCGCAATAGCTGTGGGTTGTGAATATCTTGCAACTGCTTGGCTTTCCAGCGGTAATTGTTGGCAATTTCATGGTGCAAACGTGAAGAGTCTAGCACTTTCTCCAACATTTTCTGCAGCACCTCCAGTGCCATGTCATAACACTCCTCCTTCTTCATGAACTTAGCCACATGCAAGACTACATTGAGGTTATATGGAGCCATGCGTAGAGCTTTCCTCATGTGCTCCCATGCCTCAGCGTTCCTCTTGTTCTTGTAGCACTTTAGCCCCAGGTAGACATGGATCATGGCGTTGTCTGGGTCCAGTTTCTGGGCTTTCTTCAGCTGGGCTACTGCAGAGGAGTCTTCGAAAGGCACACGTTTGTCCTCCCTGATCTCCAGGCCCTCCATGTGGAACAGGGAGAAGGCATAGCCAGTGTTCCACTCCCTGTCTTCCGGTTCTTCCTCTAGGGCCTCTTGAAAGCTCTCTTTGGCCCTGCTGTAGTGCTTTTTGGAGAACCAAAGGAGAGACCATGCCTTTTCACTCTGGACTTCACGGGTCAACTCAGCCTTAACTGGACTAGGGACAGCTCCAGAAATTTCTGACAGTTTCTCCAAATAACGTTTGGCCATATCTTCACTACCCATGTGATGGTGCAACCAGGCTAAATTTCCATATGTAACAATACATTGTGAATCTTTCTTCGCCCTTTCCAAACACTCGAGAGCCTTGTCATTGAAACCTTGCAAGTGTTTAATGTAGGCCAAAAAATTTAAGAGTCTTTGTCTAAAATTTTCTTCATACTGAGTTTCGACAGACAGACTCTCCGAGTATTTGATCTCCAGGAAATTAAGATCAGCGTCCTCTTTCTGTAAGTCCCAAGTGAAGTGGCAGTCCAGTTTCTTAAGTTCCTCCTCAAGCATTGTTTTTCTGTTTGCAAAGCTAAAGAGAGAGAGAAATGTTGTCTAAACTGTTTTATATGTTTAGAGTCACAACAGATTTGGCATTTAAATTTTTGATGACATTTTTTGCTTCAAATCTTCATACTGCAATGATAATAGACTAAAATTAATATTGGCTGCATCTCAGTGGAGGACAAAATGCACAGAAGGGTTATTCTCAGCTTTAATTACATTGATTAAAGAAACAATGACTTGGTAAAGTTAGTCTGGAATGTAGCACAAGAACCATTTAAATCTTTCCTGAAGACATTATTCTCAGGATAGGTTTTACATGTGAAGGTTTTGGTGATATGAGGTGATATATGGTGGTGTATGGTGATATAAGGTGAGAAAAGTACTGATAAAGCGCTTACCTTCCGTTACCAGTGGACTGCGGGCGTATCTGGTGATGCGTGTGGAAATCATGCGTTTAAATAGTATATGGCAAGTACCAGCTGTTTGACTTAAGTTTCACTTTCTATTTCTGCAAATCGAGTTAAACGAAACTGTGAAGTGGCACTTTCAGCCACGCCAGTATAAGAAAATAATTTAAGTATTCGTTCAGTACTAGAACTATGAAATGCAACATAACCTGAACTTCAACAAAACATCAGAAAAAAAACTTCTGTACAAACTATTTTTGGGGTAAAAATAAAACCAGGCAATGACTCAAGACACTTTTATTTGGAATATCTAGAAGTGAATCTATAAAAAATGTAAAAATTATATTATTTGATTTTCTTACTAACTCTTATTGTGACAAAAATAAACACTATTTTAGATAAATTGCGCCCCGATATGACGGATCTGAAGGACTACGGGCGCCATCTGGCGGCCACTTATTGAAGTCAACAGGATTTTTGCAACCACTATTTCACACAATTTCTCTGGATCTCCAAGTTCTTTAATAAATCGGCCTACAGGAATGTAAGCTGCTTGGGTCAATTAGATATAACCACCTTAAACTGCAGAATTATTAGTAGTTTATATATCTTATTACACATTATTTTGTAATTACTATGCATTACTCAGTACCTACTATGAAATATGTAAGTTATGTTGTTATGACAATTAGGAACTTAGTGTGGGCCCATATACAGGCCTTTTTTGAGGGGTACATCAAAAAGGATCTTTTGCCAGAAAAAAAACGCTCAGTGTTGATTTACAGTTTCATTTCTTGCAAACCACTACCAAGAAACTCTCACTGGTGGGAAACAGCGTGTGTAGCAGGTGAGGATGAGATGTATTTGAACACTACCAGCTGATTAAGGCTGAGCTGAGTTTTACAAAGTTGGAACTTGTAGCGAGTTAAAAGGCCTCCTGACAATACAGTCATCTGGCTGAAATAATATTGCTTGGTACATGGTAGCCTACGTTCTGCTTTCTCTTAGAAAATGTGAAGCATGTTGAGAAATGAGAAGTAAATTGGGACCTTCTTGAAGAAGCTATTTATTCAGCATTTTATTTTTCAAAGCAGGGAAAGGTCAAAGAGTTATTGTGTTGTTGTGTAAAGTGTAAGCCTTTAATTAACAATCACATGATATATGATTTAAAAAATAAATGATAGTTAAAATTGCACTAGATTAACCTGCTCTGTTTTGTTTGCTCATATGGTAAGGAATTATAATTTAATAGCCAAGGTTAGGCCATCACCAACTGGGAGCATGCTCAGATCGACGCGCTGATCTTTGTGTAATTTCTTATTCAGCTCATCAATGCTTTGTGAGGTGACATCATCCTTGTCAGGGTTTATGACTCTCCCACCCCAAAGGACCTGAGGAGTAGAGGGGCAGCATGTCAGCAAGTGCAGGTACATGTTCAGCCAGTTAAGCATTTCAGAGCTGTTAGCAAGCTAGACTCTGTTCGCAACATGCATGAGCTATCTAGGTCAGGGGTGCCCAATGTTTTGTCTTGTGCCCAAACGTTTTGTCATGTTTGTGGTGGACCAAGGGTCAAAAAAAGACCAAAAGTATACCAAACAGAAAGGTAGATAGATTTCAAATTGAGTTATATATATGTATATATAAGAACACTATGTAATTAATAATTATTATGTAGTATCTCCATTTTTGTCATTTTCAGTTTTTGATATAATTTGAAAATGCCTGTTGCTATTTACATTGTGTGTAAATTTCATGTTGAATGGACTAATGAAACAGCTCAGAATGACTCGGAAACAAAGTCTGGTTCCATTGACTTACATTAAATGTAAAGTAGGTTTTTTCCTTCTCCTGTAAAGGTACCATTTTGAAATAGGAGATTTTGTTCTGACAACAGTGATATGTAGTATAAAAATATGTTTGTTCTCTCATTGGATGTGGAGTTCTGACAGGCCAAATGAAATGTCCTCAAGGACAGCCCTGATCTAGGTTGTATAAAGAGCTATTGATTAACTGACGTAAATATAGAGTAAAAGTAACAGCTAAACAAGCAATACCAGTCATGATAATGTTTTTCTAGGCACATGCAGTTATTTATGCACATCTTACTTACATTATCTATAGCAATTATTCCACCCTTACGAATAAGCTGGAGAGACTTTTCATAGTAATTTTCATTGTTTTTCTTGTCTGCATCAATGAACACAAAGTCATAAGTTTCAGCTTCTCCAGCTTCAAGAAGTTCATCTGTGAAAAGGACAAAACCATTTGCAGATTACAAGATACAAGTATTCACACTCAAACTAGAGAGAAAGAAACTGTGTGTAAAACTAAAAATAGTTTGAAATTACCTAAGGTTTTAAGTGCGGTTTGATGACGAATATCAACTTTATTCTCTACTCCAGCCTAATGGAAAGAAACATTGAGGCAGTTATTATTTGTTACCACCTAACAGTGAAAAAGTAGGTTTGTTATGTTGCTTCTGTTTGTGTTGTGTAGTTTCGTCTGTCTTTGAGATGAATTGTGTCATGGTTTGGTGCAAAAACTGCAAGTCTTATCTGTTCTGCCCTTGGGATTCAAAAAGCACAGATAAAGCAAAGTACTGTGATGCTTGGCTTTGCAAGTTGTGTAGACACTGATACCGAAGCTGACATCGACATGTACTTCAATCAGCACTCTCTCCTCTCTGATTGACATTTCTGCATTTCTTGAATGACCAGACTATTAGGCTTCACACTGTCTATTCTCTGAGGGACTGCTGCAAATCAATGGGCTCAAAATTAGATACCTATGCTGCACTTTTCTCTTAAATAGAGCATGAACCCATAAAATACTTTTGTCAGAGAAGCAGCAGCGTTCTTATCCAAAGCTGACTAGTCTGCCTTTGCCATTTGAAACAGACATTTATAATAGAGATCCTAAGAGGAGCAGGCCTTTCAAGAACTTTGAAAAACAAGTAGCGATTAATTAATAACATGTCAATCAGTTCAGTGAATTCAGAGAACTCTGAACTCAGTGAAATGCTGTTTTCATCCACAGACCTCTTGGAAGTATGGCTTGCCAATTTTGATATAATCCTCATGTATTTCACAGGCCACCACTTGACCATCCTCAGGAACTGCCAGAGCCATACTCAAAGTATTGTAGCCTGTGTACATGCCTGGGATATGACAACATACCAGAATTAGTGTCTCAAAGACATAAATGGTGTTACATACCGGAATGGACTAAAACCTTTAATGAAGCTTCAGGTTCTCACCTATTTCAATGGTTTTGTTGCCTTTGATCAACTTTAGCAGATTGGCCATTAACTGAGCCTGTTCTGCAGCCACCATCATGCCACCCTTAGGATCTTCCATAGTTCTCTGAGAATTGTAAAGACAGAAAATAAGAAACATTCACCAAACATTTCGGTCAAAGACACAGTGTGAATGTGTTCAGCTTTTGATTGTTTTGCTGTTGTTCCTTCATGCATGAAGCTCTGCTGACCTCTAGTGTCTGTATAACAAACATGCTTGTAGAAGTGAGCTAAATGTATCCACAGTATCATTCTTGAATGAATGAGAAAGAAATATGTGAATGTTTGTCACAGATGACCACACATACCAAGCGCAACTTGGTCAGCACAGGATGTTCCCTTAAAGAGTTATTGAGCACATACTGTAGCACAGGGTTGTCTCCCTTGTGACTCTTGCTGATAAGGCTTGGTCTTCCAGCTCCTTATGACAGAATAAAGTCAGAAAGTCATATATAGATGTTAAAGTAATGCTATATATGTATTTACACGATCCTACATTTAGGAGCAGATATTACCCGTCAGGTTTCAGGCTGGATTCATCTGGATAAACTACTTCATAGCAGTATCTCTTATTGGTTTTTTTTTATTATCTTGCACTGTTTCAGTGGGGAATTCCTCTGATTTTTTAATAATTAAATCATGATGCAAATAGTTATTCAGAAAGCTTTGTGAAATGCACTGTTCTAGATGAGAATTGTTCATAGTGGTGGTGATATGAATCAGATATCAGAACAGTTTAATATCTCTTAAAGCTATCTCACATAATGTTTTTACATGAAATGATTACAACTACACTGCTTCTTGCCTGAGAAGTGGTTTTATAATAGTTTTGAGAGAAGGCTTTGGCATAAAGTATATTAAGTCTGTTCATGCTAGAAAGGTACGTGCAGGGCGTGTAAGGCAAAATAGACCCTCCAAAAATTTTTTTTAACCAGATTTACCTCATTTTACCATGATCAGCACTGCATCTAAAAACTCAAAGATGTGTGGAGCTTCACCGATGGATTTGGTTAGTAAATAACATGGCTGTATTTGCACAGTGGACATTGTGACTCCTAGTTCCTATCACCACCACTGTAAAGAAATCAGTCAGTTTCTCTATGATTAACCATTTCACATCAAACCACACTGAATGACTTTGTTTACATCTTATGACCAAATTATGCAGAAATATAGAAAAATTGGTGACATTCCCCTTGTATCTGTCTATTGTATATGTTTTCAACTGCACTGTTTCATTTGGGTTTTATGAGCGTGTACAGAACATATCACTGATCTTCCTCAGAACTGGTCTCTAAAATTACAAGGCACTTACCATTTGAGCAGCAGCTTTAGTGTCTGCGTTCTGTCAGCAGAGCTGTCTATGCTCCTAAATGATTCAGTCTTTCTGATTTTCTCAGTGTCACTGACATTTTATTAGATTAATACATGACTAAGCGGCATCTTTCCAAGCACATCATTTAGATCTTACCTGACAGTGCCAGGAAAAGCAAAACGGTGAAAATCATCTTGAAAAGCATCTTGATGTTCCTTTCCATGGTTTAGAGATCCAGTAGGGTGCAAGAGTCCAGTGAGCTTTCAGTACTAGTCAGTTCAATTGCTATTTATAATCATCTGTTTGTTTGTCCTCCTTAGAGCAAATGAGATTAGCTGCTTTGTGCAACATTTACCGTTTATGTAAGACCTCAGATTTGATGTTGAAATGAGAGTCAAGAATAGGGAGACTATTTAGTGAGCCTAAACTGGAAAACTAGCATGTGCACAAGTAGCTGAGCAGTTTACAACAAGGGTTTTGTCATTTATCGTGTTAAAAGTATACAGACTGAATTTTGACCAAGATTTGTCTTTTGTTCCTATGAATTTCTCAAAGGAGAGATATATATCATGTGCAGTAACATTGGATGTTTCAGGACAGAGGCAATGTTATCACTTAGTGAATACAAATAAGCAATATGTCAACTATTGTTACACTTTGCCAAACAAATTTGTTACAGATTTTGCCAATGCTTTTACTGTATATAAACTTTGCACTTATATGTTGTGCAGTAGCTTTCCACCCAAACCCCATAGTTTAACTTAAGAAATCATAAGAAAACAGAACATCAGATTAAGTTGATTATG